AAGGGTTAAAATAATATTTCTTTTAAACTCTTCAACTCCCACGAGTGACTAAGAAAGATTTCTTCCTCACAGTATCAATACAATACCAAGCAGACAGCTGGTGACAAGAATAAAGAAAAATGTCGATTGAGGGATTATTGGTTGATCCAATACCAAATTCTCTGTACTAACATCTTGGAAATTGTATAGCAGACAATGAGGAGAATTACTAATGAGATCTTGGAGTGAAAGGGTTAACTGTTTGATTGCAAGAAAACATTGTAATGTAAAACATTCATACATTTTAACAGGACATGTATCACCTAGAAAAGCAACACAACTCAAATCTGACCTGCAAAAATACAGCCAGCAGACCACATGTCTATGGATGTGGAGTAGAGCTTTGCCCCCATGAGGACATCTGGAGGACGGTACCATAATGTTACCACCTGACCATAAAGAAATACAAAGACACTGCATGAGTGGACTGAGGATTATCCACAGCAATGAAATTCACATAAAATTACCTCGGCTGAGTAACAACGGACAGGAATGCCAAAAGCTCTGGCAAGACCAAAGTCTGCAAGCTTGAGTTCACCATCCTATGGGCAAAAAAAGTGGCAAGATCAGTATCAACCTCACAGAAATCATAGGCAGCCAGGCAGACACACTTACAAACTTGGTTTCACATTCAGTGGAAACATAATAAAGCCATCATGTAATGAAGGCTTGGAAGACACTTCATATCAGCTTTACTGGCTTAAACCTTTCACTCTTATGAGTGACCAAGACAGAATTTCTCCTTACAATATCCAGCAGGCAAGTGATGAGAATAGTGAAAATTATCAATTATGGGAATAAACATTTGATCAATACCAAATTCTCTTAACTTATATCATAAAACTAGTATGGTAAATAGTAAGGAGAATTATGAAATATTCCAGCAGGTGTTGTTTCCATGCAAATTAAGGCTCTACTCATAGTTTCCATTAAAAATGAGTCCTAAAGGGCATGGACATTTTTCTCCACATGCTGCTTGAAGATGTAAAATGTGTGTCTTGAAAAAGTTGGTGTTATTTCTCAATTTTTTTATTCAGTTGTTCACAATTCCTTTCCCCTGCACCTTAGCCTCTTTGGCATTTCTCTGTCTCACCAAACTCCCTGAGCTGAAGGCAAAAATTGCTGGTTGAAAGAAAAAGGTCACAAATAACACATGAAGCTCCTTTTACCTGAGCTGGTTTCATTTAACAGTATGATTGAGAAAAAAGGATAAAATTATATTTTATAATGCTATGTTGGGTCATACCTTATTAATGAGGAGGTTTTGAGGCTTCAGATCCCTGTGGAGTACATTGCAACTGTGACAGAAGGCTAGGCCCTTTAAAAGCTGGTACATGAATGACTGGGAAAATATTAAAAAAAAAAATAAATAAGTAAAATCGTTCCCACTCACTTCATTTCTTGTCCTTTATACCCTTGATGCAAAGCATTGCTGTTTAATTTTCAGCATGTTTTCAAGAAAAAATATGCTAATCATACTTCATTTGCTTTTTTTCCAGTATTTACAAACAAGTTCTGATAGATTATGCTGGGTTGACAAGGCACAGTTGCTCTGCATAATTATCTTGGTTATTTTGCAACCATGATATGGAAAAAAAAAATTTGTCAGGATTCTAACAGAATTAGATAAAACAAAAAGATGAAATTAGACAAAGTGGATTTAAAAGAACATGTACATCATCAGCTAACTACTGAGTAAAGTTACACAAATGTGTAAGTGAAGTGTGGGATCAACAAATGGTATCTTTACTGAGTTCTTTCTGGTAAAACTGATTCACAGTCTATATATGTACTGGCCCTAGGTGTAGTTGGAAAATGCTCAAAACACTTTGATAAGGAAAAAGCTTCAAACTTTTAAATTCCGTCTTTTATCCTCAGATCAAGGAAGATTCATAGAATAACATTATTTCAATATACACCTTGACAACAGCTGTGTCAACATCGCCCTGACAGCTGTCAAAGTATTTTTTGAGATCCTGAAAGAAATATTGTAATTTTGACAGTATAGTCTTCATCATCACAGAGGCAAAGCAACTACATACAACGAAACAAGAACATAATTATATCACAAATTAAATTAAGGGCAGAGATAGGATTACATGTGATTTGATTTGATCAATTGATAATGAGAGTCTTCAGTGTCCAAAAATAGTCATGAATGGTTTTCTTTCAAAAGGTGTTTCAAGGGGTAAACATGACTTGACTTTTGGTTTGACATTGCTGTTATTTAGCCCAAAGACTGAAAAAACATGGGTCTGACGCTTACTAGCAAACTGCAATAAGGATGACAAATGCCTGACATCATGAAGATCATAAAATTAATAAACAATAGCCTCTATTTGTTGCAAACATATGCATGGATATTTGTCCACTGACTTTACCTGTTCCACAGTTTTCCAAGGGCAAAGCTCAAGGAAAACTGTGAGCTTTGAGGAACAGATAATATCCAAGGACAAATTTGCATGCATGTTTTTTTCCCTATTGTGTTCATAATCCTTTAAATATTTTTCAATGGGCATGAAAAATGTTTATGAACAGCTTACTGCTTGCTGCATAGGAAGTTTTCGCTTGAGTGTTTTCTGGTGTGAGTTTATAACCAAACAAATATTTCATTTCTTCTGTAACAAGCAAAAAATTCTCTCCAGCCATGAATTAAATTTCAAACATCAAATACTTATTGTCAGTAGTGGATGTCAGGTCTGGAAATGGGGTAAGTTTAGACCAATAATACATAGGCAAAAACAAAACGTATTTGACCGATCATAATCTAAAACACACAAAGTTATGTAAACTTCAAGTATGATTGATAAATTCATTCTTACCTGATCACAGTACTCAAATACCAATGTCAGCCTTCGTTCACTATGCATTACATCATGTAGCCTAACAAGGATAGGATAAACATGTCAAGTTTTCTATAACCCTTTACACCCCAATGTCAGTATGCATATTCTCTAAACTGCTCTTTATACATTTCCCATGGTGCTGTCAGGGAGAATTTGTTTCCCAATCAAAAGCTTCTTTCCTTGGTGACCATTTCCTTTATTCTCATGACCTTAAATATGTGATTCGGGAGTGATATTGTAGGGAGAATTTTGATGCTAATCACTCTTAGGGTGTAAAGGGATAATGAACAATCACTAAAACTAAAAATTAAAAGCTATCAGAATATTTTCTCTTTTCACAACTTCATACCTTTTCCAGAAGAAAGGTGATGACAAGAAACTAGAAGGACTGGTTTAATTTAACACCAAATCCTCATAGCTAAAATTATATTAAAATAATGTATGGCAGACAGGATGTGAATTGATTTTGAGATCTTAAGACTGAAAATACAGTATGAATTTTTAAATATTGCTGTGTATGCAACCATTAGGATGTGAATCATTGCTGGGTCTCAAACTTATTTCTTTACAGTGAGATCAAATTTACCTGATTTTGCATCTTCTATTGAAACAATATCCAAATTAACATTTATCTAAGAGATTTAGCAGGGAGATTCACTCTGAACCTCTGATTTAGGCACATAACTCATAGAAGTTGCCATACATCTAGATATAAGACTTGGTCTTAGAGATTTCACATACCAGAAGTTGTGGTTTCAACAGTAATTTAAGGCAAACAACTGATAGGAAAGTGCTACTTCTTTTTATTAGCTGTTAATCACATATCTTCAATATAGGCAAATATACAGTCTTACAATAATTTACTTACCTAACGATATTCTTGTGCTTCAATTCCTTCAGGATGCAAATTTCTCTCAGAGCTGAGCTGGGGATACCCTTGAATTGAAGAACACAGAAACAAAATTGTTCCAACAAATGGAAGTTATAAATGATTCTTGAACTTTGTTTTTTAAAAAGTGGACTCTTGGAACCATATGCTTCTTTGTAAAAATACAGCTGACATGTTTTACAATTAAAATATATATCTACATTTAAGTAATACAGTAAAAAGCCTTGAATATTTAGGGCATATGAAGGTTGCAATAAGATACTCAGAAGAAGAAAAAGTAAAACATTATGGATAATTGTCCTTGGATTTTCACAAGTGAAACAATTGTTAGAGTCAATTGTACTGTATACGGAATTGATCTTAGCTCACGGCATATGTTTATTTTCACATTCCATAAGAGAGCATTTATTATTCGCTGGCGCGGCTATTAGTCAAAAAATCAAATTATGACGATTTCGGAAAATACAAGATTTCACGGGAATAAACTTTTAGACAACAGTATGGCGCATAAACTACTGCAATTAGCAAGGTATTTGTTATGATTATTCCGAACACTCATTTCATGAAATTGCTTTCGGTTTTCTTTCTAGGAAACAGTTTCCAGCCTAACAAAAAGCATAAGCATTTCTTGATATGCTCATCTAACTAATAAATAATAAAATGGACACATTGGATTTCCCCGGGTGATCACTGTTGGAGCGAGGGAAGCACAAAATACAACCTTCAACATTCTAAATAATTTACCTCATCGTCTTCGTCAAGCCTTACTCGCTTCAGCGCCACTATCTCGTGCGTTTCTTTGTGTTTTGCTTTGAAAACGGTTCCATAAGTACCTGCAGAACGTTATGACAATGAATTGAATACATTTCCCGCGCAGTGAGATCGCAAAGGAAATTTTGTAAAACGGCACTCTAGATGAATTCATGCGCAAAAAGCAGTAAATGTCGAAGGTATACCTTCGCCGATCTTTTCCAGTTTTTCATATTTCTGCATAATCCGGTGTCGGCCTTTTAACTATCAACATTCAGAGATACGCTTTGGCTTTTTCTAGCGGAATTAGCTAAGCGGATCTAAATGAATTCACCGACTCTTTCTGGCGATGACAACAAATCATCCTTTGGATCATCCAGGCCTTTGTTGTTTTTTGTTGGAGATCTGAGACTAATGGGAAACCCCGCACAACAAAATAACGCGGTCTCAGCTGACGCCAAACAATCTGAATTTCCTCGGGGGAAGGGCTCTGGAGGGTAGTGTCTGGGCTATTTTGGACGAATGCTTACTGAAATTTTTCCAATTTTTGAAGGTTTAACCCCTCGGATGTGAAAAAATTATGGGCCCGACGTCGATGCGTGGGCCGGACCTTAGAAATTGAAGTTGAAAGCGAATCTTCTTACTTTTTTATGGTTGTCTAGGTACCGACACACGACCAAGGTACGTAAAAATGTTAGTTTATTTCTGAACAAGTAGTGGCCGGTAGTTGAGTTTTGTTATCGTAAAATACTTTTCAAAGTGTGGAAAATTAAAACTTTTCCCGATCATTTATTAAATATAGTAAGAATGAAATTATTAATACAGAAATGATGAACTTAGATCAGTTTCGCCCTCGAGTATTTGGACATGTAAGTGTATGTGGCTCAAAAGCTCTCTGAAGCGTTAAGTTAAAAATCACGTTTATTTAATGGCGTGGGAAAAATTCAAAAGCTAGTGGCATTTTCAGATATCGCCCTCTTAACAGTTAAGCGTGTACAGCATGCGTTGAGGTCTATTTGTAGTAGATAAATCATCCTCTAATGGGAGAAAAATATTCAATATCAGGAGTGTTTTTAAGAGTTCACGTTACTAATCTTCCGAGCGTGTACTCTCAAAACAAGCTTTGTATAAAACTAAATCTTCTTTACAGTTTACACTATGGCAACTTGCCAAAAGAGAAAAAAAAAACTTCTGGTCATCATAACTCTAAGAATTTATCGCAGCCTTGTAGTTTTAAACCTGAATTGATGTACATGAATTATAGCAACAGTGAGAGCATGTGAAAGCGTAAATGTATTTTGCCACCGGCTATTGAATACTAAGTGCAAGGCAGTTAGTGATACAAGAGTTTTATTTACCCGAAAGCCGTATGAGACTCAAGTTATAACTTCATCGATTAAAGTGATCTTTTGAAAAACCACGGGGAACTCTTTTTTGGGCACCATGAGTTGTTTTGGAATTAATACAGGCGACTTGCTATTTAAAATTAATGGATTGAAAATAACTGTTATTCTCCATGGTTCATTTGTTTGGCTGTTATTTCATGCTAATCTCTTGTCTATGCATAACCTATTGATTTGCTAATTCTTTCTTTCTGGAAAATTTTATGTTGAATGTTGTGTGAAATCAGAATAAATCCTTTGATCAAAGAGGGTCTTTAAGGACTCTTTTGTTAATTTCAATGAAGTTTGGCCAAATTTTTGAAAAAAACTGCATGGTTCTACAAGGTCTCTTATTTACACTTATAAGCATCAAGTTGTCAGTCTGTAGGAGAGTGTGTTCAATCCAAAACAGCCTGGAGGCTTTTCAAGGTCCTTCTGAAAGAAATTTTTGCAATCTGTTATTTGACCATTTTTTCTTGCAATAATAATGTTTATGAGCCACATTGACAGTACTTACAAAATTGTTTCTATGATAAACAGAAATGAATGTTGGTCTGCTAAGAAGTGTGTTTTGACATGGTTGCTTCATGTTCTGGTAATGTTTCTTTAAATACAGAAGTTGACCTAGCTAAACCTAAAGAACCAACACATGGCCGTGCAATTTTTGTAATCATGATATTCTTTGAAAAGCAGTGATCTTTGTACTGGTCCCATTTGTTTGAACATTCATAAACTCAATCTACAAGATAAATTGCCATTTAATCACCATCTTAGTTATTTATGTCTGTTAACATTCATAAAACTAATTAACTGAAATCGTCCTGTGTATAGTTTACTCCAACTCTGGGACTACTACAGCTGCTAGATCTTTCTAAAGAGCATCCTTATCTTATCTTATTGTAGCTATGTTTAGACACTCAGCATAGTTTGTTTTTGAAGAGCTAACCTTTGTATTGTGTCTAAAAATAAATGACTATCCCTTCTTCTTTGTTCTAAGATTGATCATGCAGCTGTGCAAATGTTTTTGCTTATGTTGTTCCTTGAAATGGAATTCAGAATAAATGTTTGAAACAAGATTTATGTCTCTCTATTTAAGAATTGTGATCAATTATTTGTAATTATACAGAAAAATACAAATTTAATGAGGCTAAGTGTAACTTAGGCCAGTCTAAAACCAAGTTTATGCAACAGTTTCACTTGACAAAAGTGTGAATTTTGGTGCCTCATAAGATTTGTAGGAGCACTGTCATGTGCTCTCAATCAATTTTCTTTGTCTCTCTGCTATTTCTGGCTATTATTTTATATTTACCATAGTGATACCTGCCAACAGTGTGCACTACTTCAGCGATTCAAACTAGCTTTTAGCATAGATTAATCTTATACCACTGCTCTGATGAAGAGGAATGCTCTGTGGTCAAGTTGAACTTTTAGTTGGGTAGTATGACTATCTTTTGAGCAATGCAAATTATTTTTTTGAGATTTAACCCCTAAACTCCAAATATCTGCTTGTTAATTCCCCCCTCTATCTATTATACGCTTCCTTGTAAATCAGTTACAAGAAGTTTTGTGTTAGATCAAGATAACTTCTGCCTTAAGTTTGAGTATTCCCATCACCTGTTTGCTGGATTTTATATAGATGTTATAGGGAGAAGTTACATTTGAATTTTTAATCAATCATTCCTGGGAGTTAAGGATTGAAGAATGATGTAAAAAATAAATGCAGTGAGGGAAGTTTGCATTTGGACAGTGAGACAGGTTAAAATGATTTGGGGCATACAATGTACTACTGGTTTCAAAAACATTTCCAGTTCATCTCAGGTTGAGTTCTCCAGGATTCACTCCTGATAACTAATTCATGAACAGCACAAACTTAGTTTAGTTTGTTTGATGTGCATGTGTCTGTGTATGTGTCTGTGTATAATGCGACATGTTAATTATTAATTCATTAAGCCTTAAGTTATATGTAGATCCATGTTGTGATGCTGGAGCTAGAAATCTGTTTCATGGAGGTATTTGCTCTCCTGGATTTCCTCTTAATAAGCTATTCATTAACAGTAGAAATTTAGTTTAACTTGTCTGATGTGAAGCTGCAAGTAAGGAGCTCTTGATTTTACAAAACAGCTAAATGTAGATAAATATTATGCTTTATAAGAAATCTCAGTATGAAGGTTTTCAGTTTTAGCTGGACTTTTTGTCATAGTACATGGTAAAGACTTAGCTGCATTTTGTCAAGATTGTTGCAAATTGATTAAATATTGATTTAGAAATTAGCTTAACAGGTGGTTGTTTTTTTTGTATTTAATTTTTCAGTTTCTCTCCTGGGCATTAGCTAGTTGAATATCATGCAATTTTAATCAAGATATTTTAAATTTTAAGCTTAATCGGTCCAGTTTCACCTCTCAAAGTACATTTCATTTTTATGACTTTGTATAATCATTATAGTGCTCATTAACATATCTTTTGATGCTCCAGGTACTGTAGATAATCATGTTTACATCTTACCCTTGGTCTTATGCAGCTTTTTGCCTATTTTATCATGCAATTCCAACATTGATTGAGACAGCACTTGCTATCACTACTTGCATGGTTTTGTGCTGGTTTTTTTTTTCTTCAAGTTTAGGGTTTTGTACATCCACAATTTCTTTATTTTTTCATCAAATTCAGGTAGCTGTGGCACAAGTGAATTTAAATGCTTCACAGATGAATTTCAGCCCAAGGAGAGGAAGTTGATAATAAGATAGTTTATTCAGCAGGAGTAAAGTGTCAGGTAAATTTGAGCTCTGGGTAGTTTCATATTGTATGAGCAAATTTATTAAATACAATTTTTTATTTATTATGAATGTGATTGTGAATTTCTTGCCTATCATTTCAATCCACTCTGATAAAGGGCTAATACTCAAAACATCAAATCAGTTTACAATGGCCTTAATTCACATTAACAACTCTGTTGATAAAACCAAATTATCTTGTAAATTACTCGCCATTGACTTAGCAAAACAGTTTCTTTAGGTTAAGAAACATACCTCCTTTATCATGATGATTTTTAATAGACTACATTAATTTAAGAGTTAGTTAGCTTGTGAGCCACAGGGACCATACTGCCAGAACTTACTGTCTCTTACTCTAGTAGCATGTGAAAGTAGTCTTTCTGTTTTCCTCCTTTGCTGAGATGCTTAAGTCTATCCTAGAGACGATTGCCCTCAACCCACAGCTCTTTCTTTTATTCCCTGACAGTATGTTGGTACTCTGCATTGTTTACATCCTTAACCTTTTGGCCATGACTTTGCAACCAAAACTGATGGAATTTCTTCTTCCAATATCAATACTTTTTCAAGCAGTAAAGTGATGAGAAGAAACAAAAATATTTCTCAAGAGGATAATGCTTTTATTTAGAACACCAAATTTCAAGAGCTAAAAGAGCATAATTCAGTACAACAAGATCTGTGAGAGAAGAAGTAGTTAGTAATATTTATTTTTGCATCCATTTAGGAGCTATGAGTGAACCAGGAGACCAAGTAACAGTGGGTGGGCGGAGCATGTTGGACAACATGGTTGGAGTTGGTGACATGGTGCTTCTTGAGTCCTTGACAGAAGATTCAGTGATAGAGAACCTTTGGGACAGATACAATAACAAAGATATCTATGTAAGTTTTAAATGAATTCCCCTAGTAGAACCAACAAATCTACTTGTAAATTGAAAGTCAAATTACATTGAAAAATGCTGTTTTGAACTCACACTTTTGTCTGTTGTGCTTGACTTCTAAAGATGTATAAACAACATTAAAAACATGAATTGCTAAAATAATACATTCTTTATTGAGACATCTTAGAGCATTTGTTGTCACCCTTTACTATTTCACACTTCCTTCCTTTGTATACAATTATATACAAGCATCACAAATATGAGCATTTCAAAAATTAAATATTGTGTGATATTACATTGTACTTCCCCACCTGCCTTGTGATGATCACCAGATGAATTATATTTTACCATCTGCTTCTAAATATCAGTTGTTGAAACATATCAGATTTAAAATTGATTCATAGGTTAATACCTAACCATTTTCTCTACCTAACCAGTGCATAATTTATGTAAATCTGGTAGACTGGATGTACATGCACATACATTTAGACACTGTTACTGTCAAGGTTGGCTGCATTACCCATAGTTTTTACAACAATATTTTTTATGGAGTTGTCAAGTTTGCATGAACTTAATTTACAGGAAGTCAATGTTTTTCAGTGGTTATATAGTTATACAAGTATGACTTGTACAAAATAAATTTATCAATATTACCTCTTGATAGTAGCTTTGAATGAATGTACATTGTACATGTCTAGAAAATATATTATATAGTAAGGGAATGGGGATGTCATATTTTTTTTTCATTTTATTTGCAGACTTACATTGGAGATGTGGTGGTGTCAATCAATCCTTATCGTAAATTCAACTTGTACACTCCTGAGAGGATAGCAGAGTACAGATCTAGAAACATTTATGAGTTGCCTCCTCACATGTGAGTACAGCTCAGTGTTTGAAAACAAAGGATAATGAACTGCTTTGAGTCTTTAGAAGCTGTAGATGTGGTGGTATAATTGCTTTGTCAGTCTGTAGCCTACAAATCATGGATCAAGAAGTCTGTTTTTTATCCTTGGCTGACATCTTTGTTTAGTATTCTTGGGCAAGACACCCTTGTCACAAAGCGTTCCTCTCTTGATCCTCTTGGGAGTAATAACAAATGGATACTTCAGCAAATTGTCAGAAAAATCTGACGAAATTTTAGGAGAGAGGTAATGCATGAAGCCCATCCAGGGTGAGCCAACTCATCAACCAGTCAGGTGCAATACCATAACCCAGTACATCTTTGAAATCTCTCTGGCTCTTTGAATTGGAACTGTTTCCTTAGCTCTAATTTAAGCTTTTGCTTATCAAAACTTGGTGGTTGGTGGTTGTTATTTGCATTTTCTTTAAAACAGCTATGCCATAGCTGATGATGCCTACAGATCCATGAGAGATTACAACCAGGATCAGTGTATTATAATCTCTGGTGAAAGTGGAGCTGGAAAAACAGGCAGGTTCTATTGTTTGATACTGAATCATTTTGTGTGCTTCATCAGTTAGCTTGTTATCTGGGTGTTTCAAATTATTTATGCCTGCCTGCTGCTGACAGGATTGAAGTCACCACTGATCTTTCCAATTTGTTTCTTCAGAGGCATCCAAGGTTGTTATGCAGTATGTGGCAGCGGTGTCTGGCAAAGGCTGGGAAGTGGACAGAGTAAAAGAACAGTTGTTGCAGTCTAATCCTGTCTTGGAAGGTTAGTGATATTTTGGATAATTATATGAGTTAATGCTTGTCACCCATTTCATTGGTTTCTCATATCTGGATCTTAGATTTCTTGTTCAAAGGAAAGTGTGTACAGTAAGTAAGTGTGAGTGTTGTGTGTGAGAAATTGGAGAGTGGATCAATGAAGTAACAAGTGGATAGATTTGTTAGTTCTCCTATACAAAAGATAAACTAAATGAAAGGATAGTAGAAAATGAACAGGAGATTGAAGGAATACGGGAATGAATTTAATTGACTAATTGATGAAAGGGTTGATTGAATTAACTCTTTATGAAAATTAAATTGGAAAAGCAAAGGAATGAGTTAATGAATTGATGAGTGGTTGATTGATGGAATAAATGAATGAATCATTGAATGAATGAATGGTCAATTGATGGAAAGAATAAATGAATGAAATGAACAGATGAACAAAAGAGAGAATAACTTAAGGTGATGGAGAGATGATTGAGGAGGTTCAAAGCTTATTGTTTGTATTATTCAAGAGATTGTGCCTGGTTGGGCATTCATGAGTATCATGTTACTTTTGCAGCATTTGGCAATGCAAAGACTCTTAGGAATGACAACTCATCTCGTTTTGTAAGTGGATTTAATGAGAAACAATGTTACATGTACATGTAGCTACTGTCAGTAGATTCTTCCAATTCCTTGATATTAAAAGTTTGTGCATAATCATAGGAATCTTCATGATCCTGGGCTCCATGGAAATTCCTAAAATTTTAGTTTCTTATTTTTGAGGACTTGAACAGTCCTTTAACATGCTGGATGATGAAAAGCTTCGGCAACTAAAGGCTGATCTACTTAATATTTAGTATGTGCTCTTGAGATTCTTAGAATAAGCTGTTAACTGCCCTTTTCAAATTTGGTAGTTCTCAATGTTGTTTACTTAGAGATAATGATTCAAATTAGTTTCAAACTCTTTAAAGTGAATGATAAGTTTGTAAAATTTATGTTTGATTTTTTAGGGAAAATATATGGATCTTGAATTTGACTTCAAAGGTGATCCAGTCGGAGGAGTCATCACAAAGTGTAAGAGAGATAGTGTTATCAGTATTACATTTTGTGAATTAATGGCACTGTTATTTTCAGCATCTTTTTAGAACAAAATTTCTAATCACTTTTAACTCTCTCATTTCATTTTCAGATTTGCTGGAAAAGGTAATTTTGATTCTTCGAGGTCTGGAATAAAGTAACCATACACTGACATTACTTTATTTGTTCACATGCACAACACTTTTATCTTAGTTTGCTGATTATTGGAAGTGTGGAGGATTAAGTTGAGGTGCAGAAACCTAATCTATGCCTCAGTGGTAGGCTCAAAGGGGCTCAGATTTTTGAAAAAATGAATAAAATCTTTCCTTATCTGATAAATGAGATCAAATTTACCATGATCTCTTCTTATCCTTTTATAATAATTTGCTAATGAAATTTTTTGATGAATTACATTTATTGAATTGAAATTAATCTTCACTCTTTGCATATGCATGAAATGTGATTTATTAATTAAAATTGCATCTTAGATGCATTCTTAATTTTACATGCTTCACAACAATCTGAATTTCTTAATGAGCTATTTACTTTGTTATATTTTTGAAAATGTGGTGTACTCAACACATATCTTTTCACAACTCAAGTATTATTTCCTGTTTATGTTATCAATTACTATATAACCCTGTCTCTTGAAGCAAATATGTATCTGGCAACTTTTTTTAAACAGTCCCGCGTGGTACATCAAGCCCAAGGGGAGAGGAATTTCCATATTTTTTACCATCTACTCTCTGGTGCCTCTGATGAACTTCTTGGTAAATTATTTTGCAATTACTGTAAATAAGAGAACTATAATCCTATAAGGCTTTTTTAACTTATTTTTTATGGTGTAAAGTCCAAGTGAAATGGAACTCTTGTTTCATTACTTTTTTCCCTTAAATCCTTGCCTCTTCCTTAAATCCTTGCCTCTTCCTTAAAATCCTTGCCTCTTCCTTAAATCCTTGCCTCTTTAAGATGTTGCTGGAATGCCCAATAGTGAATATCAGCCATGCTGCCTATCGTAAAGACAAGTGCTGTGGTCAGTATTTTGTTATGTTGGGCAATGTTAAACAAAGTGTCTTTTTTTTTTTTTTTCTGGAGACCTGTATTTTTTCTGGCAACTGTTTGAAAATACACTGCTACTATTCACTAGACATATCATTCTGCATTGCATATTTTCAGATGATATATAACTTTTAATGAACAGTCAATACAGGTAAACCACCTCATTTCAACTCTTGCATCTCTACTTGAAACAGGGAAACTTTGCCTTGTGAGTGACTGTAATGATTACACTTACCTCAATCACAGTGGATGTGTGAAGGTCAATACAATAGATGACAAGAAGGACTTTGTAGTAGTTGAGGTTAGTGTCTCAAGATTACTCTGCATAGTATGTTAGTTCTAGAATGTTTACAAAATGATCACAAAAGCTCAGACTTTGTCATTCGAGTAGTTCATCTTCGAAACCTTTTTGTTCTCTTTGTAGAATCTTCTCGCAAATCTACACTTACTAACAGAATTTCCAGATTCTTCTTTCAAATTGGTTGTTCTCTAAAGATGCATTTATCACAAAGATGTTATTCTGTGTAACTGTAACATACTGCATATTTTCTTCATTTTGATTGTCAACTAATTCCTCTCTGTTTCAACAAGAGGGCAATGGAAATTGTTGGGTTCACTCAAGAAGAGAAGTTGTCCATTTACACTCTTCTGTCTGCCATTTTGAACCTTGGAAATGTTGCATTTGATGAAGCTGTTGATAAAGTTGATGGACATGATACTGTGGCCCCTACAAACGAGAAGTGTAAGTTCTCTAAAATTTGCTTTACGGTTGGCAGATAATGTTGAGAGGTCAACTTCTACTCCTCACCATGGCTTGATCCAGGCATCAAACACTGTTTTCAGACTGTGTAGATTCTTTCCTCATGGAAGTCTTTTTAAAAGGGTGAATGAGTTAAATGAATTTTAAGGTTGATCTATATGTATCACCAATTAGTAGCTTGGTGCTTTCAGATTTCGGCAGATTTCTTCACTCATTCACTCCTTTCAGTTGGATTGTAAGTTCTCGAAGTACTTTATTCACCCTCCAGAGGCTGTAGATTAACAAATTAAAAATAGCTCACTGCTTATATAGAAAGAAATCACTTACAGGAAAGGAATGTAATTTCTTTTATACAATTATGTATGTTGGCATCTATAAGTCAGAAATGGAACATTATTTTGTTTGGCTTGTTACAGTGTAGTCAGCCTGTATGGTTTACCAACTGTTGTTCACCTCAGTGTCTGTGAAGGTGGTGGATATTTTTCACATCGCCTTGCATCATGGCAAATATCCACTGCTTTTCTTGAAACTTCCACTGATTATGATAATATTTCACTTCCTTATCAAACTCTTATAACAGACTTAGACTGGGCATGTGAGATGCTTCAGTGTGGAACTCAACTGTTGAAAGATGGTTTGTCTAAGAGAACTGTGGAGGCCGGTAACGAGAGGGTTTCAACTCATCTTACCTCTGTGCAAGTATGGTTTTTTTGTTTTTGAAAAATATTTAATCCTAAATATCCTGCACTGAGCGTAGTTAATTATCATAGTGTTCTGTTCACATGCAGTGAAACTCCTTTGAAAGGGTGCCTAGTAGGAAATAGCTAGTACTTAGCAATTAAAAGAAGGTGGCAGCTATAAAAATATCATCTATTAGAAATCACTTACATGAATGCATGTCCTTTATAGAAAACCTTCTCTTAACACTCTTGCACTTGCTAAAAGAATATCCTACAAATGTTTTGTGTTTCATTTACAATGCTCAAAGACTGCTCTCCTAGTGAAGAGAATAATTGTATTTCTTAAATAAGTAAGTACAGTGTTTGTACTTAATTGTGTACAGCCCACCAAATTAAAAGTTTGTTTGAATTTAAAATCTTCCCCCTCTATTTGAACCTGTAGAGATATTAATAATAAATATCTAACAAACCTCATTTTCTCACCTTGTGCTGCTAGTTAAGTCTTGTAACTTACAATACAGACCTCAAGCTGGGTTAATGTGAGGTCTACATAAGGGTAACTTGCAAAATTGTTCTTGTTGTTATTAATCCTATCTTCTTTTAGGCTTACTATGCCAAGGATGCTCTCTCCAAAGCTATCTATCGGAGGATGTTCTCTTGGATGATTCAACGGATCAATGAGAGCATAAAGGTAATTGATTCTTAACCCTTTATCTCCCTGCAGGTCAAATTTATAACTCTCCTTACTGTCGACCATACCATTTTCATAACGTTAGTGCAGAGAATTTAGTATTAGATGAACAAATTATCCCCAAATTGATATTATTCTTTATTCTTATCATTTATCTGGTTGATATTGTGTCAATATTGTAAGGAGAAATTCTGTCTTGGTCACTCACAGGAGTTAAAGGGTTAATTCAAAGGGAAAATACGCTCTTCATCATCAAGAAAAGACATGTAATTTTGAAATGGAATACATTTTCAGCTTCAATTTTGTTATTTACTGTAATGTAATACTGCTTGTGATATGGTGTTTCTCTTTAGCAAAGGTTTTGTTTTATTGTTTCCTCAGGTTAAAAAGAAGGGTAAAAGGAAGGTGATTGGTGTATTGGATATTTATGGCTTTGAAATATTTAAGGTACCTACTCTTTTGTGTAGTTAAAGAATGCATGTTTTTAGAATAAGAGAACCTACTGAGTTAAGGAGGACTTCAATTTTATTGTTTCTATATTTGATACATTGTATATTGACAAGTAAATCACTTAGCACGTTATTTTATGTGGATTATACCACAAACACTCTAAAAAGCTCCCTTCCCCTAACAAGTCTCCCTACTTGTCTCTATTAAGCCTTTGTTCGTTACCCTAGCTAGACTCTTATCACCCCACCAAACAGAATTTGCAAATACTGTACTTTGTAGTGTTATGTGGAATTTATTTCAGATATTTGTTTCCATGGCAAGCTACAAAAGTATTGGAAACTACTTAGTATACAAGTATTCTTACATGTTTTAAACACAATAATTTTGTGTTCAGTTGCTTTTTAAAGTGTGAAACCTTTAACCCCTAATAGTGATTGGCATCTAATTTCTCCTTACAATGTCACCCTTGAATCACACAGTAAGGTCATGAGAATACAGGAAATGATCATCAACTAAGTAAGCTCTTGATCATTAAACAAATTCTCCTTATCAGCATCTTTGAAAATGTATAGAGAACAGTAAGGAGAATATGCATACTGATGTTAGGGTGTATAGGGTTGAAGTGTGGTAACTTAAATCATTTTCAACACTTATCCATAAGTGGTCCAGCAAAGTAATTGAGTACTTTGAATTTTCCAGAATAACGGTTTTGAACAGTTTATCATCAATTACTGCAATGAGAAGCTGCAACAGATCTTTATTGAGCTGACTCTTAAGTCTGAACAAGAGGAATATATCAGAGAGGTAGGAATGTGTGGCTAATACCATACTAGAAGTCATTTAGTCTCCAAAGGCATCACAAAATTTCCATTTTCAAAATTTGCATTTGTGAAAATTTGGAATGAAAATGTCTTTATCTAGAATTATGTAACCTCTGTGGGTTGCTATGTATAGTTTAATTATCGTAAAGTTGTCAATTAAATTGTCATTTTGCAGGGCATTGAGTGGGAATCAATAGAGTACTTCAACAATGCAATCATCTGCGATTTGATTGAAAAGGTGAGTGTACGAGTGGTGGGTCATCTCTAGGGTTTCTTACATCACGTATCCACCCGTGTCCCTTACATTACATACAGCCAGAAGCATAGAGGTTGATTACATTGTATACTTCTGACACCGGTCCGTTGCACCTCTAGTCACTGTTTGACGGCTTAGCTACTTAAAAAAAAAAGACAGTCCCAAGCAGAGAAGGAACTCGTTCGTGTCTTGGGTTGTTAACGCTACATGTACATACATTGCTTTCTCTTGTTATTTGTTGTAGAGGAATTTTACTGTTCCACATTGTACTGGTTATGCATATGCTGATCGGGATAGCATCGTTAGTTTTTCCACCTTTCACTGATTCACTTTTACTTTGTGAATTCGAGTACTTCATTTACAGCCCGGTACTTCTGTGTTATTTTTTATCACTGGTCATGATTCCTGTTGCACTCGTATAATCCTGTGACAACACATTTTACACACATTTAACAACTTGTTAGTTGTATCATACTTTTAAAAAATGCCTCTATGTCGGTTGCGTTGTTATGATAACGAAGAATCGATCATCCAGTGTGACCGTTTAGGTGAGAGTAGTCCTGAAAAGGACTGTCGTAAGTAGCAGTGTAGACATCAGTCTCATTGCCGGACAACCACACTTCATGAAATATATGTTATTTACCGGTGGGAGGTCCGTATTGGCACATTGTTTACCCATACAGACCGACCTAGACCGGTAATAGACTTAATTGATTTCAATTAATGTACAATGAAGAATGTTTTATGCAAATTACGTTTCTATCGTTTCGTCTCAGACCCATGTGGGAATCATACCACTTCTTGACGAGGAGTGTTTAAGACCAGGAGAGGTGAGTACGGTCTTTCTAACCTCTACCTTTTCTCCTTACAATTTGATTTTCATGTTGGATATCGGAATATGGTAGTTTGCAAGTTCAGTGGGTACAGATAGAAAGATGAATTAAATGTGAGACACTGTGTACTCCAAGGAACCACAGTACGTCCTAAGAGACTGATGTTGAAGTATGGAGTCATATTTTCTCACTAACGCTATTGCACTGGCGAGAAACCATTATAAATTTAATGTTTTTCCGATATCTCTATATCGATATCAAGCTAACTCTCTTACTCCCATGAATGACCAAGACAGAATTTTTCCTACAATATTAATACAATATTGGTCAGACAAGTGATGAGAATAAAGAAAAATATCAACGAGGGGGTCATTACTTGATCCAATACCAAATTCTCTCTGAACTAGAATCATAAGAATTGTGTGGCAGACAGTAAGGAGAATTACTAAGTAGATATTGAGAGCGAAAGGGTTAATCATTTTAACTCTTAAGAGTTAAAATGAGCTACTAATTTCTTCTTACAGTCTTACCCTTGAATTAAATATAAAGGGTAAGAGAATAACGGAAATGATTATAATTTAGAAAGCTCCTGATTGTCAAACAAATTCCCCTTGTTAGTACCAGAGGAAATGTAAACAGAGCGGAGAATGATATGAATACCAATGTTAGAGTATAAATTACTGATTAGTCGACTTAGTTATCAAACCTAATTGCACTCACTTGGGTGAGTGAATAAATCATTCAAGGTGTAAGTGCATGTAACTAATGCTCTGCTGGTAATGTCAAAGTTGTCGTCCATGAATTTCTCTAGGTCAGCGGTACGACGCTCATTGCTAAGCTCAACACGCATTGCTGCAAGCATCCGCACTACGAGAGCAGAGGAAGCAAGAAGTTCCTATCTGATATGACTTTGCCACACGACTGTTTCAGGCTCAGACACTACGCTGGGAGCGTAAGTAGTTAACCGAAAGCCTTCAAGCTTCTATTCATGATTTTATAATAAATGTGGAAGTTCTCGAGCGCTCATTTTACAATTGAAGGTCGCCAAAAGGGGAATTTTTGAAAATTGAACCTGGAGCCCTACCGGTACTACGCTCTGTTTTAGCTTGGAATTGCTTTCCAAACTTTTTTCCCAATGCTGCAAGGGTCACATTAATAGTGTGCCTTTTGGGTAACGGAGCTTTGAATTTTAGTGTGAGGAGAGGGTAAAGTTTTCATGCTGAACCATAATAAAGCCCACCGCAATGATACAGGCAATAAGCAGTCGATAACAGGTCGATAGGGAGGAATTATTCAGTTGGACAACACATCATGGAAAAGTAAAAGTTTTTCTCATGGGACAAGGAACAGGAAGGTCTGAAGCCTTGGTTACGTGAAGTGTGATTTCCATGGTACTCATTTTTTTTTGTTTTCTCTTCTACCAGGTAACTTATAGCGTTAGTGGTTTTCTGGACAAAAATAATGATCTGTTATATAGAGATCTCTCCCAGTGCCTTTATGCTTGTGGTCATCCGTTGGCCAAAACGCTTTTTCCGGACGGTAAGTTATTAAACACGGGAAACTGTGGCTAGCACAGGGCCTTAAAAAAAGAAAAAGAAAAGGAAACATTGATAAATGTTATGTAGTATATGTGATCCACAGTTGAAATGGCAAACAATTTGTTGATGGCTGTTGTGTTCTTTGCGCAACCCTTCACTGTCACAGCTTTTGGCAGGCGTTCATTCGCCTCTTCGTGATCAGACAATACTTTCATTTAACGCGACGAATACATTTCCATAATTTTGCTCTGCATTTATCAAAATCATTAGATCGTTTTCGTCCGTTGGTTATTTGTTTGAAGGTGAACGTCGAAACTGTGTTGCGAGGCGGAGCCACGATTTACCCTTGGGAAGGAAAATACTTAAGTACTGTGAAAATCAAGTTCAATAAATGCTGAAACAGAACAAATACAACTTTGGATATACACGTTTTGCTCAAAAATGTAATGTGAACCTGCCTTTGTGATTCATCCCTCAAGCTCTTGTCGTAAACAATGACCAAGATTATATGATGTTATCAAGAGCGAATAACGAGGGGCCAACGGTCTTAGAAGCTCCTTACGTTGGCCAGTTTACATCATCAACTCAGTTGATAAATACCAAACTATATTGTAATACTCCTATTGGACGCAGCACCGCAGTTTCTTTAGAAACTCACCCCATTTATTTAATAACCAAGATCGTTTTCCGTTTACGCTGACGTAATGCTCGTCTGTCTCTAGGTTGTCCAACCAAGGCAACCAAAAAAAGACCACCAACCACAGGAACTCAGTTTAAGGTAAACTGTATCTAAACCTAACCCTAAGCAAAGTGATTACCACGTGAATGTGGAGTTATTGTTGAGGAAGTCTAGAACAATTTTCAATTGAGTGTCGAAAGGCATCATGGACTCGTTAATTTGCTTCACGGCTCGTTGTAATTACGGCTCGTTTCATTTGCGCTTTCCCGCTTTTGTGATTTTTCCCTCTATTAAAATCAGCCGTTGTGGTTACATTGGTTTACGACACTTAATTGAAAAGGGAAATTGAAATAATTGAAATAATCCCTTTGAATGTGAGATAATTGGCTTGATGGCACAGGGACTGTTTCTTAGTACCCTAAGCTTTATTGACCACTTAATGTACAGGATCTCGCTCAAAGATACCACTTACTTTGACTTTAGGAGAGAAACATGGATTCCAAATAACTTGAAAGACTATCCGTTATACTTAAATGCTTCCGCTTTCAGTTACCGTTCGATACAGGTAGAAAATAATAAAAGCAGGCCGTTGGGACTTAGCAAAGGGTGACCGCCGCCGCTAAATAGAAGTGACTGCTTAATAGAGGGGGAAATTACAGTGATTAAAGGGAAAGAAATTCGGGACTTTCACAACTGACCGCTCAATACTGGGTGGCCGCTTAATTAATATGGTGCCTCTTAATACAGGTTTGACTGTATTAACTATAAAATTATTACTCTTTGCTTTGTTGTTCGACCACAAGGTAGTTGTTACTGTTTCTACATGTATATTATCAGAAACAGTCAAGCCTCTAAGTTTTTGTACCTTGGGTACCCTGGCTTTAATGCTAAAGACTTTGTGGTGATTACCTCTCAGAGGAAAACAGAGTTTTCTAGCTAAATGGAACCTCTCTTCTTTCTGACAGGTTTCAGTCTCTGAGTTGATGACAAATCTTAAAAGCAAGAATCCTCATTACATCAGATGTATCAAGGTACTTTACTTTATTAAAATTTTCATCGCAAAGGATTTGCAATTAGTAGCCATCAAATATCGCTACTTACTAATTCTATCTCACCAAAGTTTAGCTTCAGATTAAGACTCTTTAAGACTGTCACACTTATTTTATGTGCAAACGGACAGATGAAATAGGGAACGTAAGATAATCGTTGTTTCTACGATTTAAATTACATTAAAAAAATACGCTTACAATACGCGTACAATACGCTCGATCGTTTTCACGTTAAAGAGCTTTCCTTCTTTTCCTTTCCAGCCAAACGACAGAAAAGTTGCAGGGCTGTTCGATGACAAACTAGTCAGACACCAGATACGATATCTTGGGTGAGGCAATTTATTCACCTTACATATCTTGTATAACTTTCAGGGGAATGCATAGAGGATCGAGTAACATGGAAAAGAAGCCTTAAGTAGTAGGCCCAGTCTATGCTTAGGACAAACTTAACGGCGATCCGTTGTTGTTGGTGTATCTTACTGGTCTCAGTGTTAAGTTTAAATTTTGCTATTTGCAGTGTGTATAAATGCTGTCCTTGTTTCTTTTCTTTTATTTATTCACGTTTTTTTTTGTTGTTGTTTGCATGCACTTACAAACTATCATTTCATTGTTACTTTTTATTTACGGGTAATTTTGAACTTCGTAAGGATATGTAAACCCACTGACTTTGTTTTGCTGTGAGAAGTAATCTTCCTTGTTGAATCTTTTAATCAGGTTGATGGAGAACATTCGCGTTCGAAGAGCAGGATTTGCATTTAGACAAGAATATGACATTGCACTTGAGAGGTAAGAAACACTTTCTTTTCTCTGACATGTTTTTTATATGCAGTTGAATGCAGTTTAACGAGGTTAACAACAAAGAGCATCAGCGTTCTCTAGTAGTCATCGGTTTTTGCATATGCGCATGCGTTGGAATTTCATGTGTTCTTCGTTTGAGGCGTTCTTGCGTGTGCTTTGAGCGTGAACTTGCAGCGTTGTGAGGAGTGCCAGCTCATCGTCCGGGCATTTCAGTCTGTAGATCCTTCGGAAATTTTAGAGCGCTTTTCGTATGAGTTTTTTAAAACCAAAACAAGTGTCATCACAGTGGCCAATCAGTAAAGAAGAAAATTTCAAAAGGAGCCAATGGAAGCCGAAAGTGAGTATTTGTAACCGGCGCCAAGAGCGGGAAAACGTGAGGGACCAAGTCACAAATAGTTAAAGTTTTGCCTCCGATTGGCTGAGAGGGTTTCACGAGTGTTCCAGCCAATCGAAGAGTGTTGTTCAAAAGAAGCCAATAGAAGCACAAAGTGAGTATTTGTACCGGCGCCAAACGCGGAAAAACGTGAGGGACCAAGTCACGAATAGTTTAAGTTTTGCCTCCGATTGGCTGAGAGGGTTTCACGAGTGTTCCAGCCAATTGAAGAGTGTGGTGGAGAAAGCTACTGCCACCTAGGATCAACTTAAACACAACTGAAAATTGCAGCAAAGCTCTTGCTAACTAAACATTTGCTTATTCAGGTACAAGATGCTCTGTAAAAAAACCTGGCCCAACTGGGTGGGCATGCCGAAAGAAGGCCTTAAAGAACTACTTAAGGTACTCTCTATAGAAAAGCTGATCCAGGGTCTTGGTCTTTAAAGAATGGCAAAAGAGCGGACGGGCGAAACACGGCGGTTGTTTAGGGAAACGACTTTGGATCCCTTCCCCCCACCCGGCCCCTCCGTTTTTGTGCGCTCACTTTTTCGCTCGGGCACCGCTTTTTCATTGATCAACTTTTATGAACGCTCAGTCATGTTTTTGCCGGTGCTAGGAAAGAACTATTGTGCATTTTGAAGCGAGAGGGTTGCCCAATTTGCACGGAGATGTGCCATTATCGAAGAACGGTCTGAAAAGTACGTTGATGATAATCTTTTCTTTCAGAGTTTGAATATCAAACCAACAGCGTATGCTTATGGAAGAACAAAGATCTTTTTTAGAAATCCACGAACGGTAAGATATGGTAATAGGAGAATGACTCGATATTTAAGATTGTGTCCTTTTTTCCGGTTTTCCTTTTTTTTTTTTTTTCGAAATAGCGAATTTGTAGTTGTGAAACCTTATAATGTTCTGCTGAGCTTCGTTTGACTAAAAGTTTGGCTAAAGTAGACTTCTTAGGAAGGCTTCTTGCGTAGTATTAAAGACCATGGTATATTACAAAAAGCGTAATATACCTCGCCTGTGGGAGAAGAATTTGCGTAATGGTTACAGGCAAAATATTTCTCGAATATTTGTTCAAGGTGTGACTTTGTTTAAGGTGATCACAGCCTTTGCTTTTTGATTTCCGCAGTTATTTGATCTGGAGGAGAGACGTCTTCAAGGAATGCATTTTCTAGCTGTCATCATTCAGAAGGTTTTCAGAGGCTGGAGACAGAGAACCAAAGTAAGCACTGTTTAAACACAAATGGGGCGGTAAGATTCAAGGCAGATATGCAAACCTGAAGGGCAGTCGATGGTTTGCAAAATTCTGACAACTCTTCCAATCCCCTCAGCGGTTGAGTGAGGCGATGCAATCACAGCAAAAGACCCCTTTAGCTTATATAAATAATTCAACCAAATTTACGTACTCCGATCTAAACACACCTATCGACCATTGAGAACGTGCGTCGTATCCCAGATAATTTATAACGTGTATTTATTTCAGACTCCAGCGAGTGAAACAGTCAAATCGAAAAACCTCGTGTCGTTTGGAATTACGGGAATTTACGTTACGGAGAGAAGCCGTTTGGGAGCCTAACAAATTGTCTTTCAGTTGTATTAATATGTTATAACGATGTTCTCTCTCAAAGAGAAAAAGAGAGAATAATCCCAAATGCTTCAGTATTTTTCGCGAGTCAAGATCTAGGTTCGACAAATAATTGTTGTTCGGGGAAGGAACGTGTAGCCTTCCCGGAAACATCTATCGAGCTTGCTCGATGAAGTGGCGGAAATGGAGCTGAGTTTAAGGTCTTATCATAGACCGAAGGGACTTCTAGAATTACTCTACAGAGAAGGTAAAACGCCCCTACCTTTCTCTTCGAGTCCTCCTCTTCTGTTACTTTCTTTTAAAACTGTATTTGAAAGAATTTAAATGGCTTAAGAGTTGCATTGTAGGTTTTGATGATGCAATTATTTCGGCAGAATTTGGATTTATATAACATGGATCAAACTGAATCAATTTCTAAGTGCAAGTCTTAGTTTGCAGACCGAACTTAATCCACAGTAATAATTATTCTGTCAAAAGTGGCAAATGAAATTGTAAAAGAAGTGACTCATCATTAGTGTTGGAAATAACATTTTCTCAGTAGAAACAGTAACTCTGTAAGACTGCTAAATAAAGACTGCTTTTAATTTGCAGTTAAAAATTTAGAAACGCGCGCATATTTTCGTGGATTTAACTTCTTTGGTTGCTATAGTAAACTCTGGGATGAGGCGAAACTGAGTTAATTTATTTCAATCAATCCACAGTATCTTAAGATGAGAGAGAGTGAAATTATCATCGCTAAGTATTATCGTGGCTTCAGGGTAAGTAATAGGATCTGAGAGATGTTGCAGAAACAGTTGTATTTTGTTTGGAAAGATGTTAAACATTTGTCACTAGCTTGAAACAACGAAGAATTTTGAGTCATGTGTCACAATTCGAACCTCAGAATTCCGGTCCGATTCTTTACCGAGTGTGCTACGGAGACCTCTTTTTGATGAGCTAAACGAATGATTAGAATCATAAAAATCATAAGCCACTGAATGTAGTTTGAATAAAACACCAAATTCCCAGCTTAAAGAGAAATTTATAATAATCTGTAATGAAAATTAGCCTTTTTTTTAGACCTTGGGAGTTCAAAGGTAAAAATTAACGCCTTCAACGCGTACATTTTCTCAGCTTTTCCGCATTTTTCCCTCGTTAAATTTCAAAGAGTAGTTAGTGTTTCTCAGAGCTTTGCAGAAAACTCAATAATTTTCGAAATATTGCTGCAGTTTGATCATTCACTCTCTGTTCACTTCCGCAGGATCATCGGACTTATCTCAGAAAGAGAAGCGCTGCTATTACCGTCGCTCGTTTTGTTCGCGGCTGGAAGGTATGTCTTTCAATTTTGAAAATGATATCTGACGAACAAGTCGGGAAGCCTCTTTCTTCCTCAAGGCGCAAGTATTTCTGAAAAAATTAATGATGATCTATCTGTACAGCAGATCGTAGCAGACAAATAATATTTGAAATGAATCAAATTGAAACTTTGGACTCGAAGAAAATTAATGTTAATCAATTGCAGTATGAAGAGGCAATAGGTAAAGAGAAGGAAAAAAGCTGAACTCCAAAAAAACATGAGACATTTCACTTTGAATAGTCGCTCTTTGGAACCAAACATCGTTTGTCGTGTTTGGGTGGACGTCAGCATAGTTTCATTACAAGATCCTCATCTTATACTACCTTGTAGTTCGATTCTGGGCTGCTACAGGCAAGAATGGCTAAACTCTGTTTCTCTTCTCCTTCGTCTCTCTCTTACTGATATCACGAAAAACCCTTGGCACAGAAACGTGCTTCAGATCATTGCACATACATGTGATCATCATGTCTAAGTTAAAACGCTTGCTACGCTTGTGTGGATTCTCTGTGCGATGTTGGCTATGACAGGCAACAAGTGGCTAATATCGTTTTTACTCTTCTTTCCTTTCATGAACAATAATGATAACAGTGTAATAATGTAATAATCACAATAGAATATGTGTGCCGCGCTGAACTCTGAACCCAACTTTCGAAAATCTTTGTGGAACTCTCATAGTAATACCGTAACAATGTCTTGACTTTAATTTAAAAAGCGTTTGTAAACTAACTCTTGCAAACTATCTCTTGTAAAATAACTCCTATAAACTAAATCTTGTAAAGAAGGTAGCGACAGATTACTAGCTAATATGATTGCTTTGCCTAAGAGAAGATCTTGCCTCTTGGAGGCCGTGGGAATTCTACCTGCAATAGACAATCGAGAAACATGCTTTCTGGACTCCTGTGGCGAATTAGTCTCTCTCTTGTTCATTTGCGCCTAGTCGAGGAAACGCATTGTTGTGTAACATACATATATCAATGCCGCTCTACTAATATGTCACGCTTTCGACATAATCCTTACCACTTTCACAGCGAGCAACTTACAGTTTGGTTTGATTTTGTCATAAATAACACTCGTCTTTTCCAATTGTTTCTGCTCTTCATTTAGCCATCAGCTCTGTAGTGGACAAACTCTTGTCGTTTTCACGCAAAATGGGAGGATACGATTTTTCTGTGAACAACGAAGCATTCAATACCTTTGAGTGCCCCTTTTTCACTATTATTTGATCATTTATTTCTTAATGAGCTTATCAAAATAATCGTGGATAAGATCATGGAAAGTAATGGAATTTTATCAGTTTTATGGATTACCAACTTTGAAAAAGCCCTCCTTAGGCTTTTTAAGTTGATATCTGTGGACGTTAAGAAAATTTTACCCTTCATTAATCCATTGTGGTTTTGTGCGTTGGCATTTTTTTATTCTCAATATCTCGTTTTCCCATATTATCCTATTAAGTCGATCCGAACAGCGGTTTATAAGCAGTAACCAGTCGTTTTACGTCTCAGGCGCGGAAGCTCTACAAAGCCATGTTGTACGAGAAGAAATGTATCTGGGCTTCTGGTATAATTCGTACCTACTTCTACGGATGGCAGGTCAGCGTTTATCCTGTAAATCTCAGGAGAGATAAACACCTAACTTATCCTAACATTATCAATACATTAACCAGCATACACCTGAGGAGATTAAACTATTTATAAACTAGAGGGCGCTGTCTTGATGTAACTCCTCATCGAAATTCAGGGTACGCGGCCAAAAGTATGAATTACTAATCATGTCTTGGAATTATTCAAAAGAGTTCACCGGAAAAAACAACAATAACAACAACAACACACACATAAAACAGAAAATCTCCTATCACATGTCCGGGACCAGGACTAGCAGTTTGGCCTTAATAAACCTCTTTCATTCACCTTGCGCAGTTTTTTGACAGCTTCACCGACTCACCAAAATCCGTCTCCAAAATTGACACTGTTTATACGTCGGTGTTTTATTGAATGATCCGTTTCTAGTCACACCCAAAATAATCTTCTAACTTCATCCTTTCAATTAATTTTCCCATTTAAAGAAGATACTTGGAGGATCTCCGAAAACAAAGCTTAGAATTCCTAACTAGAGTCCATTTAGCACTGCCAAAATTAACGATAAAAAAACTGCGACACCACGATGCCTCCTTTGTCTCCATTATCAAGTAACATGGATACTTGTAGTTCAAATTTATATTGAATATTGATACTTGAGTATAATTAATAACGTGCGTGTCACATCAAAATAACCTGCTATTCTGTTATTGTAAAATAGATGGTAAATATGAGAAAAAGGCGAGGGAAGAAAAAAAACCAACTATGTTAGTTATGTTAAATTTAGGTCACCCAAATACTTAATGGCAGTAATGGACTAATTGACTTAATGTAAATATAATTAATGAGAGGAATCTAGCAGCGTTAACCAATGATGTAGATAGGAAAAAGGTGATACTTCATCGGCTAACTTCTGAACATCTAACTTCATTACGACTTTTAAATAATTAATCATTAATTGACTGTCGGAACGAGCGAGCACAACGGACAACATAATGAATTCATTCCATTCAATTTCACCAGGCCCGCAAACTTTACAGATCCATGGTTCTTGAAAAGAAGCGCAACCAGGCTGCGACTATAATCGCAGCCTATTTTACAGGCTGGAAGGTGAATTAAGAGTGGTATCTTTTTTTCCTGGTTAAGTTGTTAACTAAGGCATGCACCTTTAGTCTGCAGTGCAGGCGAATTTTTGGCACTCGGGATTGTAAGTGATAGGTCTAGCGCCGGATAGTTTGGGTTTTCAAAGCCGGGAAAGGTTGAAATTTTGTTCGAACTCATTTAGACAATCGCACTTAAGTCACTTATTTTGTCGCACTTCAAATCACTATTGTTTTGTCAATTTGATTGCCTTTCGCATTCATTCCATTCAATTCCACCAGGCCCGCAAACTTTACAGAAGCATGGTCCTTGAAAAGATACGCTTCCAGGCCGCTATTATAATAGCGGCGTACTTTACAGGCTGGAAGGTGAATGAAGAGTGAACTTTTATTTGGACTCTTTCAGACAATCGCATCTTAAGTCACTGTCATTTTGTCGCACTTCAAATCACTATTGTTTTGTCAATTTGATTGCCTTTCGCATTCATTCCATTCAATTTCACTAGGCCCGCAAACTTTACAGATGCATGGTCATTGAAAAGATACGCAAACAGGCGGCGACTATAATCGCAGCCTATTTTACAGGCTGGAAGGTGAATTAAGAGTGAAATATCTTTTCCTGGTTAAGTTGTTATCTAAGACACTATTAGCCTGCAGTGTAAGCAAATTTTTGGCGCAAATTATTGTACGTGAAGAGCTCGGCTACCGAAACGTTTTTAATGCCAGGAAAGGCTGGGGAGTAAACAAAAGATATAATTTTTTTTCGCAAAAGGGGTGGAGGAAAGATAAGAGGAAGTTGGAGGAAAAGGAGAGACCCGCCTGCTCCCTTTTCTGTCCACTTCAACCTTCAATCAAACATTGCGGATCAGTGAACAGTCGCAAGCTTTCAAACTGAGGTGTTCTTTATGATACGCCTGCATTACCGGCCAAGAAACCACGCGCGCTTTGATCGGTTTAAAACTTGTCGTGAATTGAATAACTTTCTACAGGTCGTGCCGTATTCTGCTCGACAACTTTGTGAAATAACTGAATTTTGCGTAAAGAACACGAGCCCCGAAGACAAATGTATTTTTCCGATAAGACAGCCAGGACAGTAGTCACTTGAAAAGATAAAAGGGTTACGTTGCCCCCCGAAAAATGTTTTTTTTACCTTTGTCGTCGGTAGAGTGGTTTGCGTGTTGCTGCGTCGTAACGCTTTCTAGCTTTGCTTTGGTGTGACGAAAAACATATCGCTCAGCTCTCTTTGAGATCCAGTTGTTGATATCATTTCATCTTAATGAAGTCTAAATGGTAACTAAAAACTGTTAGTACCGCTAGCTTTAAACCCTCGTGCACCGCTAAAGTATACGTGTTGCATCAAACTTACAAAGATTTCAGAGTAATTTCCTACAGGAAGTCAAAAGTTATCCTAGCTTGAGAAGATGTTATGAAGGCTTGTGATCAGTCTGGAAAATTCGCGACGCCTTTTCAACTAAAAAAATGCAGACTTGGTTACTACATAGTTAAGTAATTTAGTATTATCAAGTGAGATGATAACGTAAATTGGTCACCGTAAAGAGTTTCAAAGCTGACGTTTCGAGCGTTACCCCTTCGTCAGACCCCTTCGTCAATTGCTCGAAACGTCAGCTCTGAAACTCTTTACGGTGGCCAATTCACCTTATCAACTCCGTCGATAATACTAAATTACCTTGCTATACTCTCCCACCGACGCAGCTCCACAGCTTCTTTAGAGACTTATCCCGCGACCCAGTTACTTATGCGTTCTTGTGCATGTGGACATTAGACTTGCTTTTTTGATTGGCTGTTGTGACAGCTGTGGTTTTGGTTCGACCAGCGATCTGACAAAGATTTTTCTAACCATTCCTTAGATTTCTAAGCAGAATAATAATTAGACTTATAACTAACTTAAAACTAACGTAATTTTGAAAACTGAGATTAAATGTACGTTGCCATATTAAAAACAAAAATAAAAAAAACATGGAGTGGTCGCATACATCAAGAAACTAAAAAATTTTTTTTTTTTCGTTACGTTGTCTAGGTTCGTCGTGAGTATCATCCCAAGTTCAGAAAGAATGCAGCTCCAAAGATCATGAAGTTTCTTCGCCTGTACTTTGTATGTAGCTTCTTAAACAAACTTCAGTCCTCAGTTGTGAATTATGTGTCATCAGTCTCGTTACAACTTGCGCATCACAAGCAATATGATTCGTAAACTCTGATTCATTACAGCGTTACAGATATTTGAGCACGCTAAAGAACAACCTACCGTCTTTGTCACCTGTGGATACGCATTGGCCTTCATCTTCACCAATGTTTAGGAAGACAAACAATCTTCTTAAAGGCTTGTACCACTCTTGGAGAGTAAGTTGTCGTCATAAAACATTAGAGAACGAAAACAAACGATCAAACGAAAATACTAAATATTACGCATAGGCTATAGTTTCTATTAAAGCCAGACTATTTTCCCTTATATTTCTTATTGTTGCTCAAGAAGGCAGGAAGACTATGAAATAGTTTGTAAACTCGCTCAGATTTTGGCTCTTTTCCTCCCTAGTGTAAGAAATTCAGAGACAGATGTCCTCCCGAAAAGAGAGCGATTCTAAAAGAAAAACTCCAAGCCAGCGAGGTGTTCAAAGACAAAAAATCTTTGTATCCTTCCACGTAAGTTTGATAACTTTTTGATACAATCAATATGTTTCTCGTCTTTCATGACTTTGTTAAATTCCGTCTCTCTTTATTTTTGTGATGTGGATGTTAAGTCCTGTCCCTGTGGATTTTGCAATTTTCCTCCCATTTTATGAACACAGGAGCCAAGTATTCCCAAAACATACTACTCAAGCTTTTAGGAAGATAAAAACCGTTTTTTTTTTGTTCGTACTTCTTGTTTTGTAGGGTAGCAGTTCCTTTCCAAAGCGATCGTGTCAACCTTAATGCCAATCCAAAGTGGAAAAAGAACACTGGTAACAACAACCAACGAATCGTGTGGGCGGATTCTGTGTTAAAGATCAATAGAAAAAACGGCAAGGTCTACTAAAATGTTTTTATTGTTGTATTATATTTTCAGTTTGTTGATCAGGAATTAAATGTAAGAGGGGAGAGGATAAAACGGCTGTGCGTTAAATGTGGAACGGGCGCGGAGAAAAGCGAAAGTTTTCATGCGGCGATTGGCTTCTCCTTTACAAAGATTTCAGAGTAAATTCCTACTGGGAGAGAAAAGTTATTCTTTCACAACAGTGATCTCACAGTTGATCGAAAGCGATGTTTGCGACATTCAGACTTGATCTTTTGTTTATATCTATGAGTGATAAGCTAACAGATTTTGCTTAAAAGAGTGAATACCCTTCAAAACAAAGCGTAATCTGAAGGCTCGATTTCGCGAAACTAGTTTTAGTCTGGATTTTAAACGTAAGCGTTTCGAGTGGGGAAATCTGTTTTTTAAGTTACTTCCTCTCATAGTTGGAACATTTTCTTAATTTGGAACGAACTCTGCATGAAAATACTTTACAGACATACAAGTAAGCTGTAATTTCCATGTTTTATCGTTCCTCTTCTTCCAGGCAGTACCTCACATTTTGACCATTTCGGACACTGAGATGCTGGTGTTAGACCCCAAGTCTCTCCTCACGAAATACAACATTGATTTGGGAGACATTCAGAGAATCTCCGTCAGTCCGCTGAAAGACGGAGTAATCGTGTTCCACATTCGCACGGTAGATGTCCATCTGTCTGTGTTATTCTTTGGGACCAATCAATATTTGTCGAGGAGGGCGGGGGGGGGGGGTGGGGTATTTTGAGGATCACATTATTTTTAGGGGAACGGAGGGAAATCAGTTGTCGCTAACAGAGCGTAAAGGGCCCACTATAGAAAATTGACTTCCAGTTAGGGGGAATCAAAAGAATACTCAGGTAGATTCTCCGCCCTCCCCCCCTCCCGGCGATAAATGATAAGCGGACTCTCAGTTTTTTTTTTTTTTTTTAACTCGTGGTTTGGGGGAACTTAAAATTTTGTCATAGTTAGAAGATTAAATTTCAGATCGATGTCTTGGTTTTTGTGTCACAATTGCTCATGTTAAATGGGCGAGCACTGATATGTGTTTTGAGCCATCATTTTATTCATTTCAATGATTCTTTTTTTTCGCTGAAATTCATTGATTGACAAATGGCTAATTTGTCGTCTTGTATAGCGATAGTTAAGCCCTCATTATTAATAGCGTCTCGGCGGAAGCGTTTCTTTGCCCGCGGGAAAGTAGGAGGCTTTGAGCAACGCCAGCCAACGGGTGATAATTAGTAGTCCCAGATCCCCGGCCAAGCTCTTCTCGATTCGTCCCAAATCTTCCCGCTGACGAACGTGCGTCCTGTAGTGCAATGAACGAGGGCCTTCAAGTAGGCCAAGCGTTAATTTTTTTCAGCTCATCGTTTTGATTTCGATCTTGTGTTCTTTTCAGGACAAACAAGATAAGAACCATCAGAAAGGTGACTTCATGTTCCACACGGAGCATGTGGTCGAGTTAGTTGCCAAGCTGTTGGTGCAAGCAGAATCCCAACAAGACATGTCTGCCGCCGTTCATGTTTCAGAAAGGTAAAAACGGGAATGGATTCTAATAAGGGGTTGGCCTTGAAAAAAGGTGATCAGGAACCATGGATTCCTGAGACAGTTTGGTCTCATCTAGTCTCTGGATTTCTTGATGAAGGAAGTAGTTATTTGAGGAGACTAATCGGTAGGAAAAAGTATTAAAATTTTGAGTGCGAACCTTTAAAACAGACTTATCTTCCCTCATAACGTTAAGTCATGACGCGTGCACTTGCGCTTTGTTGTGTCACATTTCATTATATCAATATGTTTTTTTCCTTTTTAGGATCGCTGTGAATTTTTCTGAAACTCCGGTCGAGCTGCACTTCAAACGCGCAGACAAAGATCTTCCTCAACCGCTATTGTGTAAAAGAAAAGGAGCTGTTATAGATGTCTTAGTTTGATTATTTTCTTAACAAATCGTACAGTATTAGTTTGGTTTTTGCCATATCCACCTTACAGCAAAGCAAAGCGTTCATGGTGTCGAGGTTTTTACATCCTTTAAAAAAAAGTAAATTATTTAAAAATAACATAACGATTACAAGTTATCGTCGTGCATTTGTTTCGAAGGTTTAACTTTATTAATATTTAATTTAATCGGCAGAATATGAAAAATTACAAATCTTTCATGACTGGTTGGGCCTTTTCTCTCATCTCATTCTTTCCCTAAGGGTTTTGGATGTCAGCATTCCCTCGAGCACCGATACATCTTTGGCGGATTCTTCGAACAATAGGCTATTTAACTCATAAATTTTCTGCCGTTGAACTTGATTGTTTCATTCTTTTCGCTCCTGCTGCTTTATCAAGGCAAGATGTAACATAAAGAGTGTTTTTAAAACTTATTTTACAATAAAATTATTTACTTGTCAGCTTATGTCGTCTTCCTTGTTTTCTTTGTTTGTCCAAAAGCAATAACAACAACAACAACAACCCAAGTCAAGGAACTTACCGCGACCATTATTGAGAATTAAGACTCTTCTAATCTAGTAACACACATACCTGATAAGCTACGCTAAATGGATTGTCGTTTTATTTCATATGGATCGCCATTTGCTAAGTCGTAATTACGCCATAGGTTTTTCCACGGATACGTGATGTCGTTGTCTTTTGATTGGTAATCCCAAACGGAAGATGGCTTTATCTTCGTACATCCATTCAACACAGCTGTGCGCCAAAGAAAAAAAAAACAGACATAGACCCACATCTACGAAGCTTAAACAAATCGTTACATTAGAGAGCGTTGAATCGTCAAGCACCACTGTGAATTTGGTTATGTATGGTTAATCTGAGGTAGGTCAGTATAAGATATTACGGACTACATATTGGGTGTGAAATGCGGATTATGAACTGAAATAGTCGTGGGGCACTTGGGTTTTGCTTATATGGGAGAGTGTCATCCAGGCTAAAAAAAGACCTTGACAATGTTTAAGAAGGTAGCCTTTCCGATTTGTCTGCTCTTAAACAGACAAAACAAGTATTGTTTAGACTTTGGCATATCGACTCCTGTCAGCCATGTCTGGAATATATGCAGTAGGAATATATTCAAATTAGATTTGGAATGTGACACGCGTGCATCATATCCTGTTTAAGGCTTTCTGTCTACAATGGTAGGCTAAAAATTTAAATTGTACACCCAATTTAACCTCTTCACTCACCAGATCTCTTTTGTAATTCTCCTTACTGTCTGACATACAGTTCTCATATGCTGTCATTCAGAGAATTTACTTTTGGATCATCTAATAATCCCCTAATTGATGTTTTTATTCTCATCTCTTATATGCTTGATATTGTAAGGAGAACTTCTGTGTCGGTCACTCATGGGAGTTCAAGGGACTGCCTCTCAGTTTGGAGTTCTTGGCGGACCATGCCTGTTTAGTAGAATTGTCCACCACCCTATCACCTCACAGGACGTTTCCGACATAAATGACAGGTTCAGATCGTGTTTATATTCAATCAGTAAGTTTACTTGTTCTTTGACCACTACAGAAAAGCGCAAAAATAGCACCCTGTTGGCTTTTGCGCCCTTTTTGCTCTTGTATCGTGACCATTGACCGGGAGATCTCCCAGGAGACTAGTAACAACACGCAACAGAGTTGCTACTGTGCACGTATCTGCGAGGATTACGATTCGCGGTCAAAGGAATGTCTTGATTTTTCGTCGAAAGGCGAGAAGATGTGGACAAGAACCATCGGAAAAAATGGCTAAGGAGTCAAATCTTGTGTTTGTATGGCTTTTACTGTTGTGCTTCTTTGCGAGATCAAGACCAGAGCAGAATGAATCAGGTTAGTTTATTTCATCCGTTGTTACATTTGGTCAATTATCGTTACGTTCGGCTCCAAATTGAATTTTTCAGGCCTTTCTGTGACCGCTGAGGACTCCTGGTACTAGGTGCAGTGACTTTGAAATCGCTATTTTAACCTCGATTCACAAATATTCAGCCAGGCCTTAAAAACTTCCATTAACAAAAATTAAGGTGCGCGTCAATCTCTGGACACTTAAAGTAACACAGAATCTGGCATATTCTTTGCGGTAGATACAGGCAGATACGTATTCTTCGCAAATTAAAGCTTAGATTTGATTCAGCTGAAATTAGTTCTTTTCATTGTCTAATTGTGTTGCCTCTGGGGTCATAGATCACAAAGAAAACTCTTCGATCCGTGTAAAAACAGTAGACAATAAACTATAATTGCGTGGAACGTGTAATAAATGTTTATAGGTAGCGATCGTTAATACGGTCGAGCACTTGCACTCGCAGCGCACAATTGGTATTTAATTACTGTCGTTTTGGGGTTTTGCGCACTTAATTGTTCGTTTTCCCTTTATAGAGTCTTAAGATTTCGTTTTGTCGTAATAGTTCAATAACAAAACTTCATAGCTAGTACGTACATTTGAAATACGATATTTACGCTGGGTTTATTACATCAGAGGACGTGTTACTTAAAATTTTCTTAGAAAGAGAATTAACACAGAGACTGTGTTTTGTGGTTGATCAAGACTGAGGAAGTACTCGAGAAATCATTAAATCATTAGGTTCATGCTCAGGTTGTTTTAGTTTTTGAGTAAATATAGAATTTTATGATAATTTGGAATTATGATTATGTGCGTAACAAGTGAACACCCGATCCGTCGAAACATAAACCTTGATTTCAAGGTCATGATAATATTACTCTCGATCGGATATGAAAAAAATTAGAGATCTGCTGAAACTATCACTTAGTTTTCAAAATTTCATCATTGAACAGGGTGAAAAAGATGGCTGGGACGCAAGTAATTCTCTCTAGTTGTGCACAAACATATATCGACTTTCAATTCCATTATCGGGGAGCTTGAAAAATAATCTTTTCCCCATGATATGTTACGTAAATGCATAGTTTCAGATTTCCTTTAAGTTTTCAAAGTGCCAAGAAAGCGAGCTTATCATTCATAAAAGGGGAGAGAATGTTTTGTCGTGGCAGTGCATTGCGATAAATAATTTGCCCTATGTTTCTAAAACAAGCAGTGCACCTGTTTTTAGAATCGATTCTCCGTCCCTTCGTGGTGCACATTTTTGTGTATAACATATGGAATAACGCCTTTTTCACCCAGATAATACACTGTAAGTGTGGATTTTTCTCTCTGATCTTAAGAAATGGACTGGGAATTTCTCCTTTGACAAACTGACTGTCAGAGAGTGTGCACCTTTTGGTGTAGAAAGGTCTCCTCAAGATATAAAAAAGGCAGTTCACATGTTGAGCCATGATTCTTAAGTTCTGAGGAATATCCAGTTATCAAAAATCTGCTTTATGTATCATAAGTAAAAAAACAAATTCCAACTTTCTTATCTTGTCCTAGACATGGGATCAGGGGAACATCAGACTTCCGGATTATAATTATGTTCTGATACTCTACTACAGTTGGTAGAGGGTAGCTGTTCTTGACAATTATTTAATTTACAGGTGGCAAGGGGTAAGAGTCACAAATAGTTGCAATTTACAGGAGCTTTACTCAAATAACTCTGTAGACCTTTCATCAGTATACAAATTTTCTACACTTTTCTCTGTTTGTTGTGCATTTCCTATAGAACTGAAAAGGAGGAATTGGTTAATAATCAAGATTTTTCTCAGTAGACTATCATTTTTTTTATTCTCATGACTTTATTGTTTAATTGTGTTTTGAATAACACTGTTAATTTTTTCTTTACATAAAAAGTTCAATATGAGAAAGCAAGAAAGCAAAAAAGCAAAAATTGTCTATTGAAAAATGGAAGAAGTCTTTCTGGAAGAGACAAGGGGTTCCTGGTTGGCTTGACCCCCAATTTTTTTTTTTTTTCTATTTTTACTCACTTGTCACGCTTTTCAGTTCTTCCGGTTTGTGACTTAAATATCTGTGTCAAATTGATGCAGCTATTGACAAGAAGCAGCGCTTGTATGGCGTCAATAATTTGCTTCGGTTGGAGCGCCATACAGCACAAGTTTGATTTGAAATCATGATTAGACTAAAATTATACAACACAACATTCAATGACATGTACCACTTTATTATATCCATCGTGAGATTGAAAAATTCAGTTGCTCAGATGCAGGATTGTTTAGTCTGTACAAATGTTTTGTTGATCCAGTAGTAAGCTGGTTTGTAGAAAGTTGCAAGTTAAGGTTATTTCCCACTGTCACAGGTGTCCTTCAGAAAAAATTTGTATGCGCACGGGTTTCACTAAAATCCTAGTGAACTATGCATCATAAGAAAGCCTTTCTTCTGATCATAGAAGGTTTGTTAATTGCAGATTACAATAAAAATGTAATTTAAGCAACTTTTCTTTTAAAGAAGTGTCAGGAGCGGGTAAGGTGTGAAATGACCGAAGGTTCTTCTATTGAATTTATCGGGTATTGGATGCTACAGCAGGAGCAAAATGGTCGAAATCTGGACGCCAGCTTGGAGCTCTTCTAGTACAAGTCACTTTCACAAAGGATTCTTTTTCTTTTTTGACAGAATGATACTCTTTCTTTCCTTCTTTACCAAGGATTATCTTCCGGTTTTGGATTTTCCATGAGCAAAGATCTTTCCATAAGCAAAGAGCTTCCGTTTGTGAGTTTTTTAAAGTGCGCAATGTAAACAAAATATAGAAATGACACCAAAAACGAGCCCTATCATGAGTAGTTGCCATGAAAAATTCCTCTAGGGGATTTGCCCAGGTCCAAGATAGTGACACCATCCTGATTTATTAACTTTTAGTTAAAAGTATATTTTTCTAAATAACTCGGGTGCTTTTAAAGATTTTTATTAAAGATTTCTATTTAAAACTTCTCACAACTCTTTTTTTTTTTTCTTTTTTTTCTTTTCAAGTGCCATGGTACATTGGCTGTTACAATAACAGGGATGTCACTAATGGCTACATTAGTAAAGGCTCATCCCACACATCTGCTCAAAGGGATCCTATGACACCAGTGAACTGTGTCAGTCAGTGTGTTAACCGGTAAGTGTTATTTGGTGAGTTGAAAAGATAAAGTTTGGGGAAAACAAAATTAGTTGTTTAGGTTAGGTTCATTCCACCTTAAAGTCACTTTTTTAATTTTCTTTTTTATGACGACACTGTAATTGCAGTTAACTTGGTGAAGACTGATGAAACTGGTATCTGTAGGTTGGTTTTGATGTAATGCCAAATTCTCCTTGTTAAATTTTCCTTGGAAATACACAAACATTCAGAAAGAGAATTCAGTAGTTCGTTTATCAGAATTCAGTTAGAACTTTTTCCCCAACAACATAGCCTTCACTTCATCACTTGTTTTAAAAGCATATGGCTAATAACCCTTAGTGTCACTCTTCACAATAAATCAGTTTAAACCCTTTAAATACCGACACACACTGTTTTCCACAAATAGGGGAGAAGCTGGTTTCCTTTCGATTCTTGTTTCTGAAGGGCTGGCTTTAAAGCGGTGCCACATCTGTCTTGATCTGAAATAAATTTTATTTCCTGCAAGTACTATTTTTATTGGCTGCACAACACCCAAAAACTATATGGAAAACACTGAACGCAGGGTGATATGTGGAGTTCATTCAAAAGTCATGTACAGTTGAGAGACAGTGTAGATGCAAAGAACTTCAATGATTGAGAGTTTGGCTAAGAATTTGGAAAGATGATATGAAGTCATTGGTATGATCAGGAGACATTAATGGGTTAGTCTTAGAGTGTGATAGCGGTTCCTGGATCAGAAGGTGTGGCTTTATGCCAGTGAGCCAAATGTAATTGAATTTGTTTTGTTCCCTGGCAGCTACCGTTATGCTGCAGTAAGAAATGGAAGTATCTGTATTTGCCTTATGGAAATAGACAAGAATGCCACCACCAATGATATTCACTGCAACACGAGGTATTAAATGTCTGCTTAAAATTATTTATTATTATAAATTATTGTTTAAAATTAATTTATAAGCAATGTCTTTTAATCCTTTACACCGTAAAATCAGTATGCATATTCTCCACATTGTTCTCTAAACATTTCTTAAGATGCAGACATGGAGAATTTGTCTAGCAATCAAGAGCTTCTTTACTGGGTGATCAGCTCCTTTATTCTCCTGACCCTAATTTTTTATTCTGGGGTGATATGGTAAAGAGAAATTAGATGCCGGCAACTTTTAGGGGTTAAACAGTTAATAGTACTGGTACCAGGACATGTAGTTTGATTTTCAGGGGGTATTGCCAACTAGCCCTAACTAAAATTATCTGATTTGGGGGAAGAATTTGGTAGGGGATCCAATGAGAGGGGTAGAGGGGGGGAGGAGGCCAGTATTAGAGATAAGAAGTTCATACTTCCCCCTCTCTATCAAGCCTTCTTTTCTGTGGGAGATGTGAAAGCCAAACCAAGCTGTTCAGGTTTGATACCTGCATGACTACATGATGGTCAACATGTCATGTTCTTGGGATAGATACTTATGTTCTCTCTCTCTCAGGCCAGGGTTTGCATACAATTATGTGAGGAAGATACATGTATGAAACTAATAGCTCTGAAGCAAAAAAACAGCATTTTTTTTTCTATAGAGTGCATCTATTTTTTTGCTTACAGTTGTCATGGAGACAAAAGTATCAAGTGTGGAGGAACAAATGCAAGTAATATCTACTCAACATCCGTCCCACTTCTTGAATCATTACATAATATTCTTCCAAACCAAGCTGCGAAAGGCACCTTAGTCACTGTTACATCAATACTCTCTATCAAAAGATTGGCAGATGAAGTCAGTGGTTTGAACAGAATAAAACAAGGAAATCAAACAGCTGACAACATTTTTATAACATGGTCTGTTCAAGGAAAGGTTTACAATGATGCAAGAGTTCATTTAACTGGATATTCAATGAATATCTCAAAAGATATAATATTTCAACAGTATGGCAGTCAGGAGGTTTGTGTTTTTGCACGTAACTTGTTCTCATTCCAGCGGAAATGCAGTCGTGTTGGGGTTTTGGTTCCAATAACTGGCTTACAACTTGTCACTGTCTTTCAAGGAGGTAGCAAAGTGCCCATCAGATTTCCATTAATAAGAAGCTGTAAATTGGTTTATTTCAAATTTATGATTGTTCAGGGGTCCTTCCCTGAATTTAGATTTGACTTTGGGGATAGAACTGTTCCATATACTGCAACAGATTCTTCACCAGATCACAATTCACAGGATTACTCTTGTATGACTGCTTCCCACATCTTTAGAAGTTCAGGCAATTTTACAATCAATGTCACAGTGTCAAACGCTATTAGTCGGAAGTGTCAGACCTTTAATGTTGTTGTGGAACCTTTTAAGGCAAGCATTGAACTTGAGAAGAATAGCAAGGATTGTTTGCGTGTTGAAGTAAACATGTCGTCAATATTAAAAGCCAGAATCTTGGATTTAGAGGGATGTAGTGTTATCTATAAATGGAATTTTAATGATTCTTCCCCAAATATCACAACCTCAGGTGAGCAAGTTAATATTGTTGTAAGCTAGGTTTAACTTACATATTTATTTTGAAATTTGAGTGCCATTGTAAAAGTAGTAAAGCCTTTATACAGGCCCAAGTGGCCCATGGGGCCAGTGCTTAACTCTGGTTTTCTTAGCATGAAGCAGCTAGGCGTATTGCTACTCCCCCCTGGATGGGATGCTAGTCCATCACAGGGTTATTCCCAGCACATTTGCTGGTACCCATTTGTACACCTGGGTGAGAGAAGCACTGTGAGAGTAAAGTGTCTTGCCTAAGAACACAACACAATGACCCCGGCCAGGGCTCAAACCCAGACCACCCGATCTGGAGTTGAGCACACTAACCATGAGGCCACTGCGTCTCCGTGTGCCATTGTGGTTAGTTGATAAGCTCATCTTGTAGAGCTCCTGACCAATGTATGGGAGGTTGAGGGTTCAAGCAATAGACCCAAACAACTCTCAGGGTTTTAGAATAAGAGAAGAGAATGTACTGCATTTGCTAAGACATCCACAAATGAATAGAAGGTCCATGTCTGCTGCATCTTCTCTGTACTGGTTAGCAAGGGACATTTAAGAACCCATGCACTTCTTGCAAAGAGTTTGGAATGCAGCTCTCGGTGTTGTGATCTGGCCATGTAATAGTTTATACAGGCTTGTCCAGTTGAAGCAGGTTTTAAACTGAACAGGGCCAGCCTTTCTAAATATCACACATAAATGAATAAATAAATAAATAAATTTTGGTTTATTCCAAACCCTGAGAGAACCCTGACAACATGTTAGGGGTAGCAGATGATGGACTAGCATCTCACCCAGGGTGGGTCGGAACACCCTTAATCTCATGATGTGTGGGTTACTTAATTGGCTCAAAATGCTGACTTTGTTTTTACTAATTTTATTGATAAAACAATTTTTTTATCAAGGAAAATTAAACTCAGATTGGTTTGAGTAGGGTTTTAGTCAAGAAATATCACTGATATTTCAAGCGAGGCAGCTCAAAGATGACATGTCCAAGAAGGGGGGGAGGGGCTCCTGAGATTCTTGTTTGATACAAGAGCCAGCAAAATAAATGTAAGGGGCAATTCATGTGGCCAACAGCTGTTGCTAGGTGACAACCCTGGTTTCATGCCATGGAAATCAGACTGATCTCACATAGTGTGAGCCTCTCGACTTAAGTGCCAAATTTATTTAATTTTTATTATAAAAGATTTTTTTATTATGAAAAATTATACTCAGACTGGTTTGAGGTTAAGGTGTGTGTTTTCTTCCTGTCCAGTTCCACAGGTGTCTCACTCATTCTCCCTTGCACATCAGCGGTATAATGTGACAATTGCTGCATTCTATGATCGTGGTGTAAGTCAAACAGTGGAGCAGGTGTGCCCTATTAAAAGACTGCAAGGTGAGTACATTATATTATCTGTATAAACATACAGTACCACTCAAAAGTTAATTGAAAGTCTTGACTCGAAACACAATTAGACTTGCCAATAGATATTTTTTGCATACCCTCCCCATTCCTGCATTAAGAAGATGATGCATGTATGTAAGGTTGCAGGAGAATTCTGACATATTATTTCTAGGGGGTCAGTAAGATCAGACAAATGCTGTCCTGAGGTTTAGGGTTTGGTTCAATTTCAGTCCATTTCACAGTTCAATTAACCCTTTACACCCTAACATCAGTATGCATATTCTCCATACTGTTCTCTATACACTTCTAAAGAGGCTGACAAGGAGAATTTGTTTAACAATCAAGAGCTGCTTTAGTTGTTGATCATCTCCTCTATTCTCATGACTTTCATGTTTGATTCAGGGATGATATTGTAAGGAGAAATTAGATGCTAGTCACTCCTAGGGGCTAAAGGGCAAGGATTTTCAAATCAACAAGCAGCCTCAATCATCTCTGACTGACAAACAGCAAAGCTGACTAGACATAAAAAGGCTGTCACCATAAAATACAAGATAACAGTATAGAAAAAGTAGACAAGTAAATTGGGAAACGATGACCTGAACTTGCTATGAAGATTCATGCTAGGCTAGAAATTTAGGATTTGCTGAAAAACTCTAAAAACATCAATGCACAGAGAGTCTAAGAGGCATGCTGACACAAAACCAAAGCAGCAGACATGGAACAGGCTGATGTTGAAGAAGCTTTGAACAACAAACATGTACAAAGAAAAGTCTTTATAAATGGCACCACTCTCATTCTTTGAGTGATTATTCTAGGCGTGATATTAAAACCCGAGAAGCCACATGTAATATTGGGGACAGGTGAGGAAACAACATTCACTGCAGAGGTATTACCTGCAATAGGACCAAAGGGAAATGTCAAGATCAGGTTTCACAGGAATGACAGGGTCCATGCACCATTAGGCAATCTTATGCTTGCCATATTTTGGAAACCAGGAAGGTGAGGTGGACCACTTTGTTTGGCTTACTTGTTAAGAATGCAGCACACTTCCCTTGTTGGTGGTGCAAGATGCTGATGATGGACTCTGGAATCAGAATCAAGATGTCTGGGCTGTAGCTATGACCAGACATTGTTATGTAGTCCTGGGCAAGCAGTGCACTCTGGCACTGCTTTCCCCCACCCCCCCCATGGGAAACATACAGAAATTCTTGGGGAAGGAGGGGAGTAACCTTCAATGACTTGGCATGAAATCTATGAGGACAAGAAATTTTCCTAGTCAGTCTACAGTGCCATGGAAACCAGGGATCATTTGGTGTGATTGTCAACATGAGAGTATTTTGGACAGTTATGTAGAATTAATTCTGCCAAATTTTGTCTTTAAGGTTTATTGTGAAAGCTGAGGCAGAAAATGAAGTCAGCTCTGTTTGGTCTAATGAACTTTTGGTCTTTGTGTATGAAGAAATATCTGGGGTAAGAGTTTGAGAAGGATAAATTTAGATAGTGGGAAGAATCTTCGGTTTTGCCTGAAATGAAGGCACTGAGTGTACCTTTCAATCATGATCTCCTTCTACAGCTTTCCATCCATCATGACTCAACAGTGCTGTTAGGAAGGCCTTCCCGTTTGACCGCAAGTGTGAAGAAGGGGACTAATGTTACCTTCTGTTGGGACTTTGAAGATGGATCAGTGATAAATACCACATCAACAAGTATTACTCACAACTACACAAGGTAAGAATCTAATGAGGAATTTTTGTATATGCTTCTATGACCAAGAATGAGCTTGATATGAAATGCTTAAATGGCAGGTTCAGAGAGAAACAACAATCTGAAGTTTTACCAAGGCAATGGCTTGAACTGCTTTGATTTTGTTTTACTTTGCTCTGTGATTGTTTCAGAAAACTTGGGCCACTTTCTCAACTAATTGAATTCAACCCTTAAACCAATTGTGACTTCTACTTTGGTTTAGGTTTCACAACACTTCATTGAAAACTTTGTCTTTGTCATTTTTTCCTGTTGTGCATAGGGAAGGGGAGCACAGAATCAACCTTGTTGCTTCTAATCCGCTTAATAATCCAGAGGAAACATCAATCATAGTCTATGTGACCAAATTACCAGCTTGTTACCCACCAGCTGTCACTTTGCTTGGACTTAATAGTGGAAAGGTGGGTTATAACATAGAGATTTTAGACAAAACTTGCTAATGAAGCAAGTGTGGGGGGTGGGGAAGGGGGAGTTCATGTATAGCCTGTGGCTAATATAGTGTGGTTTTGTATTAATGCAAAGTTGTATTGGAATCAGGAGACATATAGTCACTGCCTGATTATGCTATAGTATTTCAACATAACATGTAGAAATTTATTTCCTGAATGACAATGCAAAATTGGTTCTCTTATTCCATGTGGTTGAAAAAAAAAACTAGCTAGGGAAACTTGGGCAAACTTGTATCCAAATTGACTCACTCATTTGATTTGCGCATTTGACTTGCCCATTTGACTTGCCCATTTGACTTGCCCATTTGACTTGCCCATTTGACTTGCCCATTTGACTTAACTATTTGACTTGCCCATTTGACTTGCCTAACATCACACATGGGTTTATCACATCATAAAAACCTGTGAAAATGTGTTGTCTGACTTAATTGTTTTAATTGTTATTAATATTTGAAACTCTGATTACAGCCAATGATGTATTTTACAGGTGTTTCGATCAAAGGAGCTTCGTTTAGAGGCTGATGTTGGTGTAAACTGCAGTAAGGCTGATCAACTTATTTACATGTGGAAGGTATTTATTGGAAGGTTTTTAATACGTTAATAACGTTCTGATGATGGTGGTGATATTGATGATGTTAACTGTAACAACAATGATTATGGCAACTGTAACAATAATGATAGTAATAACAAAATGATGACAATAATGATAGTGATGACAAAAACATTAACATAGGAGTGGGATTTTCATCTCTTTAAAGTCATATCTTTTTTCTAATCTTTTTTAATTCACCTCGTCAGGTAACTGCTGCATCTGGTGCCCAAGAAGGAGGTACAGTTGAGCCAGAGGGAGTGAGTTTCACAAGGGGAGCACTTATCCTTCCTCCTCATCTGCTGGATTATGGAGAATATTATTTCCATCTTGAGGTATGGAACTTGGAATCTGTTTATGGATCTTTTCACTTTCACTCTTTTTAAGATCAGTTCAAGAGATGCGTGCAATGTTATCAAGGAAATGTAGTCAACAAGTAGATAATTATAATGTGTTGCTCTTTGTCTGTCGAGTAGTGGATCTAAGATGTTACTGAAATGTGAATGTGGTTTTTCAGCTAACATTTATATATGTCCCTCGTGTGCATAGGTTAGGGGAAAGAATACAGGATTAGCCTCATTGACCAAAGTGAGGGTGACAGTTGTGAAGAGTCATCTGGTGGCTGTGATAAAAGGGGGCACTTATGCAGTTGTTGCCTCTACACACGAAAAAATTGTAATGGATGCATCACCCTCTTATGATCCTGATTTTCCAGATGAGAGTCACCTACTAAGGTAGGAAAACTGACATTAAGTGCAGGCTTTTCCTCTTAGTTTCCTTTTCACATGTTTTCAGGATGTGACACTGAGGTGACTTCCCAAAAAAAAATTATGTATTATCTTTCAGAGTATTTCCAAAGAAACAATCAATAACTAATAAATGACTTGCCATGAGAACAGTGAAATATATATTGCCACATGCAAATGTATTAACCCTTTTAAGGGTTAATACATTAAACTTCCACGAGTGACCTTCATGAACTTCATGAGTGACCAAGAGAGAATTTCTCCTTACAATATCAATACAATATCAACCAGATAAGTTATGAGAATAAAGAAAAATATCAATTTGGGGATAATAAGCTGATCCAATACTAAATTCTCTGAACTAACATTATAAGCATTTTATTGTTGACAGTAAGGAGAATTTCAAATTTGATCTGGGAGTTAAAGGGTTAACTGCAAAAGTTGTATTTAGATGTCATCATTTGTTCAAGTCCTGCAGTGTTGTATTTGCAGTGTTCTATAGGCCATATTCCTTTATCACAGTTTCCTTTCAGCCCTAACAGTGCATTTAATAGCCAGGTAAAATCATATGCACATTGTCTTTGGGTGGGAAAGAGCTATGAAGTATCATGACAAAAGATCCTAATTATTCTGTAACAGTCACCATGCATATACATTTGTTTCTTCGTGTTGTAACTTGCTGTTGTACATACTCTCCTCCACACAGGTTTCACTGGAGTTGCCACCTGTTAAAAGACAAAGCCAAGTCATGTTTCAATGATTCAAGGACACCTGTCTCAATGAGCAGAAACCAGAGTGTTCTTAAGTTTCAAGTAGACTGGCTTTTGGAAGGCAACTCATTTGACTCCTATGAGTTTGTGGTCACAGTGGCAAAGGATTCTAGAAAAGCCAAAGCCTCGAAGATTCTACTCATGAACCCTGGACGTGGACATCTGTAAGTTGCCAGTCTTTTTTGATGTGATTTTGCTTTTTGGAGCGTCATAGTAGCTTTTGTTGATTAAAGATTAAAGACAGAACTACAGATGGAAGCAATGTTGGGTGTAGGGGTGAGCAGATGGTGCAACAGAGATGTTTTCCGTCTTCCCTAGGTGTGGCCTGGGTTCCATTTCCAAACCTGGCATCACATGTGGGTTCAGCTCTGTTGTTGTTTCTTGTCCTTACCCTGAAGTTTTTTTTCCTGTTCTCCAATTTTCTTCCCTTCACATGAGCCAACTCGAAGAATGCGGCAGTAGACAAAGAGCGAATGAATGAGAAGCCCCACTGTTACATTCCAATTTACTTATTGGGTTATTAGGTTATCTTATTTATTTTTTATTTATGTTATTTCTTTAGGTTGTCTACTGATTGCCTTCAGTGTGACAAGGGTATTGTGAATCCCACTGCACCTCTCGTCATTATGGGCCTATGCTCGTCATGCCCCTCAAACAATACCAACATAACTTACGAGTGGTATATTTATCACGTTCAACTTGGTGGCTCTGACCCGCCCGAGAGAGAGGAAGAATGTTTTAGTGAGTCAATAACCAATCCAATGATTGACTCTGTTTTTCATGGTACAGTAACGCCGTTGACCTCAAAACCTACTTTTTACCCTCTTAGAGGGTCAAGACCAACCAGTAAGCCATTAACTTTCAAGAGAACTGCTGCTACAAGATCACCGCCAAAAAGATTTGGTCGTGGTCGTATCTGTATAGATTCTAATTTCTATGGACCTTTCCCTGCCACTGAAACAACCAGACGGCCCACTTTGGGTGTAGGAATTGGCACTGGTAGCAGTGCTGGCCTAAGCACTGGAAAGGGACTTGGAACAGGAAGTGGTGTTACAACAACCTCAACTAACGATGTTGGAGGTGATAACGATGACAAATATGACAATGATGAAGTTGATGATTTATATATTCCAACGTATATTCCACCATCTGGAAAGCTTTCGGGAAGTTTTATCAGTTTCAAGAAAAACTCGATGAGACTTTTGGAAAAGCACACAACTACAGGCCTCAGGAGTAAAAATTTTGTTGTTCTCGGTGACTATTTTCCACCAGGTCATATGTACATGGTGACTCTCAAGGTGAATGATCGTGACACCGGTCAGAAAGGATTAGCGTCTATCTACTTCAACACTAGTAAGACTCCAGAGTGTGAAACATGCGTTGTAACACCTTCCATCGGAGAAGCTTTGGAGACCGCGTTCCAGCTGACGTGTTCTGAAAAATCTTCTAAGGTGAGGAAATTAAGTTCTTTTATTTGCATGATAGGCTCCAGTGGTGGGCGAAGCGAAATAAATCCTGTGCAGTGATTGGTGGGCCGAGCTGGCCTCTTGAAAAGATTTCTTTCAGGGTTTGGGTCACAGATGGGCTCATTGACTGAGAGCAATTAACCCCTTATACCCTAACATTAGTATCTACATTCTCCTTAATCTTCTCCATAAATTTCTTTGGGTACTGACAAGGAGAATTCGTTTAACAATCAAAGCTTTAAAGCTTCCTGGGTTGATTTAATCTCATGATCTTGATGATTGATTCAGCGACTTTACTGTTGGGAGAAATTAGATGCTGATCACTCCTAGGGGTTAGACGTTAATAGATGGCATGTTCGTTTTACAGTGGATGTAGGAAGACAAAATCAAGATCTAAGTGAGTGTTTGTCTAATTAAGAGTCTCCACATACATGTAGCATTGGGTGCACTTCATACAGGTTTACTTGCGTCCAATTTCTTTGATTAGGCGTGGCCTACAAGTTACCGTATTAGCTATACTGTCGATGGCCTTAGTAACGAGGAAGGGGAGAGAATCCTGGTGTACTCCAGCTACAAATCAGAGATTCAGTTTGTTTTACCTCCTGGACTGGAAGCCTTTAATCACACAGGTTAGTAGTTCAACTGGTATTAATCACGGAGTAGATGTAGTTGATGTTATAAATTGGCCACCCTGAAGAGTTTCTGAAGCTGACGTTTGTATCGTTAGCCCCTTATCCCAGTAAGTCCAACAGTAAATAATTTTGTTGGTTACCCAGCTAGATTCCAGTCCACCAGTCGGTTTGTTCATTTGTGTGCTCTTTTGTGCGTTAGGTATTTAGTTATTCCTTTTTGTTCTTTAAAAATTAGCATAGATATTGCAACGAAGAAATTGAAGTACTGACTGCCCTAAATAACGTTACTTTCTCGTTGTAGTTAAAATCCATGTGACAATAGCCAGCGATGAAGTACAGCGGAATTTTTTACCCACGCAAGTGAGGGTGTTGCCTCTGAACATGTCAGAGAATGTTTCTATAGAAGAAGTTTTGTGAGTATACGTTTTCTTGCTTTTCTCTTTAGACAAACCTTCAAGCATGGTTAGGTTAAAAAAATGGCAACCTCTCATTAGCTTAGGAGGGATTTAAGGATTTTCACTATTTTAATGATTTTAAGTCCTTACTGGTGACTTTTTTAAAATACGTGTTGTTTTAGTTTTTCTGTCAAAAGTTATCACGTAAAAAAGAAACTATTTTGGACAATTTGAATAAGGAGATTCCAAATTATTCTCACTTGCACCAAGGTGTTCATTTTTAAGAGATTTTTTAATCGGAAGGTGGAACCCATAAATATAAGTCTTTGGCCTGATTTTACAGGTTCAATAAGACAGATGGGAGGCTCTTGTCTCTGTTAGGTGACACAGGAGATGATCAAGGCATCCGACAATTCATAACAGCTTTGGCTAATTCCCTGAACAGGTAAATCGCGAGGTATATAATCCATTGTAGCGTGTGGTCGGCCGTGGGATGATGATCCCTCAAAGCGCTGTTGTTGGTCACAGTGCTTGCATCACTCGGATTCCTTAGTGTCCTTGTGGTATTTACTTCCGGTTCTAGTGAGTTTGTAGATCTGTGATATCGCGTGTTTCAGGCAGAGACGCAACGAAAGAGCTACAAGCGTTGTTTTGTTTTGTTTATTTCTTCGATCGTTCTTTTTTGCGTATGGTTTTTTTTTTTCTGTGACACTGGCACAAGGACAAGAGAATATATGCCGTTGATACTCTCTTGACAAGGATAATTTTTCAAACAATAAAGGGCTTCTTTAGTTCGTGATAATTTTCTATATTCTTGTGACCTTAATATTTGATTCTGTATTGATACTGTTGGGAGAAATTACATGCGTATTACTTCTAGGGGAAAAAGGGTGAACAGCATTGACTTCCATGGGTTAATTTTTAGAATTGTGCAAGATGTGAAATGAGAATAACTCAAATATATGTACCTTAACTTTTCCAGGCTTGGATCTGTCAAAAATGTGAGCTCTAGATATAAAATGAGGACGGATATCAGAGAAAAGCTATTGCAACGCCTCTTGAATATCACTGGGAGTGACAAGGTAAGCAAAGAACAATGAAGAGGAAGAAATATGTTTGGAATCCTTAAAAGAGAAAGTACGGAAATTTAATTTTTTGGTGATGAAAAAAATACCTTGAACTGCAACTCAATACAGATATAAATGAAGGACATTTCGTAGTGACTTACTTCATCTTCATGTTATTGTTTGAGTGTGGAATCACTGTATACTAACAGTATGAGTTTTAACAAGGGTGCACCATCATTATACCGTACGCCTAAGTGTTTGCTTTTCCCTACTATTTGGTGATTAGCATCTCAACCAAGTGAAACTTCCATATTTCCTTGTAGGAAGCAGTTCCCTTTCTCAGTCACAGGCACCAAAGAATGTTGAGTGAGGCTGCTTCACACAGCTTGCCGCCTAAAAATATTGCACGTACGAGAATAGACGTAAAATGGTTTTTCGCCGCTTGAACACGTGATTGGCGTAAAGAATAGAAATTGCGATTTATCCCCAAAAAGTTTCAAACACGTAAAGGTTATTATTTCAATCCGCTCTCTCTCTCACGATCCTCATCATTTTGGCTGTTGTTGTTGTTGTTGTTTTTTTTTTTTTTTTAGAATTCAGCCTTTCAGACAAGCCTAGCTCTACAGATGCTGACAGCAAGACCAGAAGAGGTAATAATCAGTGTGCTAACATGGGTAGCGTTCCCTTGATAGTTTAGTATTAATTTAATAAAGATGAAATGAATATTACAGGGGTGACACGTACCTTATTCATACCCCGCAAAACATGTTTAGTTGAAGCGTGGTTAACTTTAAAAAAAATTAGAAACAGAACTGATATATTGAATTTCCTATAGGTTTGAAGTAGTCACGAACTTGTATTTTCAATGTGCTCAATTCGAAGACGAATATCTTCGGTGTAAGCACCTTTTATATATATATAAAAAAAAACAAAAAACAAAACTAATTGACACAGTTTTTAACAAAACAGCTTCAAAATATGTTTAAGCTTTTGTGAGAATGGTTGATTTCGAGAAATGATGTACGCAAAAAGGAAAGACTCTCTGACATTCAAAGTTCTGATATCCTTTGTTCAAAACAATGAATTTTCAATCTTCCTTTGCTATTGAGCGAAAGAACATGGCTATACCTCTTTAGACCTCCTGGAACTCCCAACATCACACTTAGGAAACCCCTACATTAGCCTCTCTTTCAAAAAAAAAAAAAAATCAGAAACTGCATTCAATTGAGGAGTTCTTTTTTTACGCCCACTCATGCACAGCTCACGGAGACCAGTGTGAAATTGGCCTCGTTACTGCTGCAGCATCTGAGTGATATGATGCAGTCGGCTCACCAAAAGATGCGTGGTAGAAGGATCGAAGGCAGATTTGTCCTCAGCGAAGAACTTATCAAGGCGATAACAAGAGTAACATCGGACCTGATTGAAGCATCTTCACTACTAATTCTCAGGTATGCTGGAGCCAGTGAAAATTAAAGGTAAAAGCAAAGTGCCCGAAGCGCGGGAAAACGCGGGTGACCAAGTGGCGGTTGGTTTTAGTTTTGTATCTGATTGGTTGAGAAAGTGGCGCGAGCTTTCTGGACCAATCACAGAACAAAGTGAAGCAACAATAATGCAATACTGCATGACCTTCGATACATTTTTTTTTCCTTTTTTGCTCTCAGACACTTTATTTACTCTTTTACCTAGAACTAAAAGACCGCATATCAAAAAAGAGATTAGAGATGATTTCCTACTAAAGGCAACTGAAGCGGCAGAGAAACTTGTCAAGGTACGTTATTGGCTCTTGTACTCGTTCGGTGCGCTCACATTCCAAGTGACATACCGCTATACCGAGATGTTTTCATTCGACGGAGTCTTATCGGAAACATCTTATTTTGTTCGATTTCTCATGGGTACTCAGATTTGTTCTCCGCACCACCTTTATGACACGACAAATAGTGTCACTCGTGGTGGAAACGTCGTAGTGATCACAAAATTAAAGTATACTGATCTAATAATGTTATCATTTCCTAGGCTAGGTTGTCTGTGCAAGTTCTTGGGGAGAAGCCTCTTTTACTAAACTCGCCCAAAATCCGCGTCAATGCAAGTCAGATAGCTTCCATTGATAATACAATCTTCTCTCACGCTGCTGTCAAATTCCACGTGCCTGTGAATCTCGAAAAACATCTCGGAGGTGCATCGGCTGCTGCCGGAGGGAGCTGTTATGGGGCTGTGATGACTGTGTACAAAGAAAATCCCTTTTATAGTGAAATGGTAAGATCATTCAAGTATGGTTTCAAAGTGAGAGACGCTCTCGTATGATGGCAAGTATGATGGATTGCCTGGGCACTAGCCATGCCCAGACCTAACTGTTTTTATGAGGGGGAGGGGGTGTGAGGAGGTAGGGGGGGAGGGATGAGAGAAAGGGAAGGGGGGTAAGGTACTGAATTCTCACAGTGACTCGCTTTATCAAGGAATGTAAATGAATTTGGGCTGATTGAAATGGAAACCAGATGAAATACTGGGATTTAGCCAGCACTGGAGAAGCATCTCCGCTGAACAAAAGAAATGCTATTCGCCTCTTGCTACTGAAACCGGAGAAAGCAGGATGGAGTAGGCCAGTTCTTTCAGTAGACATCAATGTTCCTATTTATATTCTAAACTATCGTTCGTGAAAGAAATTTTCAATTAAATTTCGAAAGAAATTTTGCTTTTATACGCTATGTGTTTGCTCTAGGAAATACGCGCCGTTTTTCCCGCCACTTACTTTGAGTTGTCATCGGCCATTATGTTGTTCACTTTTTTTTGATTGACTATTGTCATCACCTTGCTACTACCATCACGTCATTCAGTCTAAAGGCGCTTAACATGAGATATATTCATTTCGTTGTAGCATCACTCACAAGTTGGCAGCCTCAGCCTTACTGACTGCAATGGAGAGGACATCGAAGTGAGAAACCTTAGTCGTGGCATTGACATCTTTATGCCTCATGAACTTAACAAGGTAAAGTGGTCAATTTACTTTCATTTTTTTGTGTTTCGTTTTTGTTTTAAAACCTTTCTCTCTTAAATTTATTGAAAAGTTTCGTCCTAAAGAAGCGGAATTCAGTCGGGTAGACTCCCAATTTTGGGAAGTTTTTGCGTTGTCTGGAAGGGCCCTTATCCCATCTTCTTTAAATTTGCATTTCCCGCGACCTAAAATCATAAAATGGTCGCCATAAAAAATATGTATGTAAACATTATACCATAAAAATTAAGTAATAAAAGTTACGGCTTGCAACATGACTGCCAACGCAGTTCGCTAGATTCGCGACTTTCGCTGCAAATTTAGTCGCCGAATTTTTTCTCTCTCGTCACGATGGGTGGAGAAATGGCTAATCGTCTGTTTGCTCGCTGATGTTTAAACATCAAGACCAGATTTTTGCAAATGCTTGAACAATGGTGAGACGTCTTTAAACTTAAGTTTAAGTATGATCGACTGACGAACTGACTATCTCTTTGCTTGTTTATTGTCAGACCACGCAACGCATGGAAAAATTTACTCTGCGATGGAAGCATGAAAATATTCATGTCATAAACGAAACCAAAAAGATGTCTAACCAGGTGTTACATGTTCATCTTGAACCACTTTCCAAGCTGCCAGCTGGATTTGCAGTCAAACTGATTGTCAGGTATTGATTAATTGAAGCTAGGAGGGAGGAGGGGTGTGGTAGTAGAAAAGGGAATACGAATGGACACCGCCATAAATGGCGCGCTAAGATCGGTTATTTGTCGCGTGAAGCCTGGGACTAAAACTAATCATTATCTCACTATCTCTCTCTCAAGCCCTCTCCCTAAGATCGAAGTTCTGGATAAGGTATTGGTTAGCTAGAAACTTTGATGGGAAGAAATGAGTAGTTGTTTTTTGACATCATGGGCAAAGCACTAACGAATAACTAACAACTTGGCAAATATCGAGCTATAACACGTATTCATAGATCTTTATGGCAAAGTGACCTTTTGTTGATTGCCTTACCTTTGCAGCACAGCTAAACCTGGTTCATCTGTACGAGATCAAAACGAACTCACCGCTTCAATTTCAGGGGAAGGCGGCGTGAACATGAACATACGTCATGACCAGTTTAAAAACGGTAACTGGCCTCCTGTTTCACTAACTATGGAATTCCGTATTAAAATGAAAAGATAAGAGCAAGAATGCTGATAACAACAACGTTGTTGGCCAATCAAGCAGAGTGAAAGAAAAACCACGCAATCCTGGGTTACTTTTTACACTTAATAAAGAATTGCTTTTAATTGCTTTTGGTGACTTTTTTGGGAATTTTTTCGTCCTAAAACGCAGGAAACATTAATTGATTGTGAAAAAGTTAAGTGGAAAATGGTGTGGTTTTTGTTATTGTTTTTGTAGTTGTTTCTCTTATTGTTGTTGTTGTTGTGGTTGCTGTTGTTGTTATTGAATCATTCCTCTTTACTTCAGGTTCAGAATCTGTGTATGTGAGGGTTGTCATGGAAGACAGAGCATACTATCGGATTAGATCGGTAAGTGTTATCGGAGTCTTGTGCACCAAATGGATAAGTACTGCAGGACAACGTAATATTGTTTACATCTGCCTCTTCTCGCATCCGCCTAAAACTAATTCCTTGTTATTAGAAAGATAAGTATTTCACATTGGAGAACTTTATATTTCAGATTTTTAATATGTAGTTAAGTTAAGCAATTCTGTTTGATAAAAGTTCTGCAACAAAGATAGATAATTAATACGATAGCGATCTTCGCAGTAATGAACACTACCCAAGCAGTTGTGAAAATAAGGCTTGAAAAAAAAATTCAGGCCTGTATGGGATTTGAACCCATGACCTTTGCGATACCGGTGTAGTGCTCTACCAACCGAGCGAACAAGCCAACTGGGAGCTGGTCGTTATGTTCGTTCGTAATAAACCGTGAAGTAATGAATCAATGACTTTGAATATATAAAAATCACATCTAATATTTTTTATATTCAGAGTCAAAGATAGAAAAATTGATAATCGATAGATATCAGTATTGCTCTTGAAGGAAGATGACGCCGTCCTGTTGATAAAAAAGTTACACATAATATGCTTATTATGATTTATTTTGATAACACTTCTTCACGGGGTAAGGAGAGGCATTGTTTGTGTTGTCGAACCATCTTGGCAAAAATCAGGACTCAGTTTGTGTTGACTTGATTAAAGTAATTTTTTCCGGACAGGCTTACTGAGGAAGTAAAACGAAGAAAGGGAGGTTAGTTTCTATAGAAACTGTGGTGCCGAGTTGGTGGGAGAGTGGCCACCGTAAAGAGTTTCAAAGCTGAAGTTCGAGCGTAAGTCCTTCGTCAGAGCGAATGACGAAGGGCTAACGCTCTGACGAAGGGCTAACGCTCTGACGAAGGGCTTACGCCCTGACGAAGGACTAACGCTCTGACGAAGGGCTAACTCTCAAAACGTCAGCTTTAAAACTCTTAACGGTGGCCAATTTACGTTATCAACTAAGTTGATAATGCCAAATTACTCTGTTTTACAGAGAAGGCAACTCTCTTTAAATGTAAAACAAATTAATGTCTTTTTTGTGGACGCAGATAAATAAGGGCCACAGTCTCACTTACCTATTGAGTGTTCACTGGATGGGCTGTTTCTACTGGAACAAGATGGTGAAAGAGTGGTCCACTGAAGGCTGCAGAATGATAGATCTTAACACACCGCAAATGTTTCACTGCAGGTTAGCTTTCTTTTGTCTTAACCCATTGTACTCTGATGTAGGTATACATATTCTCCATAGAGCGTAGTAAAGTTAAGGCCTCGAAATTCCGAATTACTTTAGACACTCAAGGTTGGTCTACCCAACAGGAATACACTGAAGCTACCATTATGTTGATTTTCATTCTGTTTCTATGCTTTGCTGTCGTGCACAGATGTAACCATCTTACTGCGTTCAGTGGAGCATTTCTGTACCCACCAAACTCACTGACAGTAAAAGATCTAACAGATCCAGTCAGGTGAGTTTAATCTCTCTCAATGATCTCTCTGCAGCCGTTGTTTGGTCACATCACGAATCACACTTTCTTTTCCCACGTGGGTTGTGTGTTACGTGATGAGAGCAAACAACGGTTGAAAAGAAGACGAATTCCATGTTCGTGTTCGTGCCCTGCGTCGTAGACGTGGTGGCATAATTTTTAGCGTGCTGAACTCTGGCTCGCAAGGTCCAGGGGTTTAAGACCTGGCCGGGTCATTTTGTTGCGTTCTTGGGAAAGACGCTTCTCTCTCACAGTGCCTCTCTGTACATACAGTTATAGGAGTTGAACAGATTGCGGCAAAGTGTTGGGAAAGTCTGACAGGATGCTTGGGGTAATCCTGTGATGGACTTGGAGATTGAATCAATGAAAGTGCACAAAAGTACAATGCGCACAAAATGAACTCCTCTCTGACTGTGTTCGATATTAGCTTGAATCTAGAGGAGTGAGTGTTACCTACAGCTGATGTCGCATTTATGTGTTGACAAAGTGATCCTACCATGGGTTATTTCCTCTGTATTATTATGTATTTATTCATTTTATTGTTGTTGTACAGGTTGAAGCGGTCTCCATTGGCGTTAGTTCTCGTCGTCGTCATCTTATTGCTGTACCTAGTTCTTATTGGTTTTTGCATACGAGCGGACAAACACGACAACAAGAAGGCACAGGCTGTGTATATCACGGAAAATACCAGTGGGAATAATCCTAAAGCGCCAGCCATCACTGAAAGGTGATTTACTTTATTTAAATCGTCTGCATGACTACCTTTGTTTCCAAAAAAACGGAAAAAACACGATTAAAGTAACAATAAACCAAAAGGAACAAGGATGTTTAAGGATGGAGAAGATTAGAGCCTATTGGAAATCACAATCGCTCGAAAAGCCCGCTGAGGTTGCAGTGGTTAAGCCTTTGACGATTGTGATTTCCAATACTCTCTAATCTTCTCCATTCTTAAACATCCTTGTTCCTTTTGAGTTCCCGAGTGGACGATTAACATTATCTTTTCAGGTTTCAGATAACTCTGCAGACAGGTCATTGGTTTGGGTCTGGAACATCCGCTAATGTAAGTCATAACAATGTGTGAAGGTTTTTGGACGATCGCGAAACTCCTCGGATCGATCTTAGTTTTGGACTATTGCTCATCGGACTGATTACTGCCAACGAGAACAAAGAAGCAAGTGAATGGGAACTCAAAGAAAACCCTTAACCGGCACGAAGCGCGAGAAATGCAAATTTTATCTGCTTGATATCTGATTGGAGGGGACATAAGATTTTGTAACCAATCACGCAGCGCAATTAATCGTAAGGTAGCCAATCAAGAGTGTCTCCAGCGCTTGAAATTTCCTTTAGGTGATCTACAGTTAAAGCCATGTTAGTGTCTTTTTTTTTTCTGTTAGCTTTTACGCGATGAAGGAGATTTTCTTTTCACTTTTCTATTGTCATTGTATTTTGAGGAATATTATAAGTTACTGATTGAAACTCTAAAACTAGAAGGTAATTGAGCATCATTTGCTCTGGCGGGAGAATCATACCTTCCTTTCTTTTCCTCCAGCAATTCCAGGCTTGTTATGCTTTTAGAGCAGTCTAACCTTGTTGCCTTCGAAAGGCTCGGGCAGATGAATTTTTTGTTTCTTTCCACACTCACCTAATTTGATCATCTCCCTTTTGTCTTTTCTTTCCATTTAGGTTTTCCTTATACTTTATGGCGATAACTGCGTATCAGATCCGATTGAGTTGAAGTCCGATAGAGACCATCCTCTGTTTGAAAGAAGTTCCTGCGATGTTTTTGTCGTGAGGTAAACCTTTACACCCTAACATCAGTATACATATTCTCCATACTGTTCTCTATACATTTCCTAAGGTGCTGGCAAGGAGAATTTGTTTGACAATCAAGAACATTTGTAGTTCGTGATCATTTTCTTTACTCTCATGACCTTAATGTGTGTTTCAGGGGTGATGTTCAAATTAATAGTCACTCTAAGGGATCAAAGGGTTGATGTCAACAGAACAGTTCACGCTGTTTTAGTATTTGTACCCTAACAGTGCACGCAAGGTCGAATATATGACTTAAACTTTCGGAGACAGTCTGTAAGGTTTCGAGATTGTCCATGGCTCTTGTTAGGGTCCGTGTGGGTAATGGAAAACTTGAACCTGAACAGTCTTAGAGCTCACTGAGCAAAGCAACGCAAGAAATGATCGTTTTCCCATTATTTTAAAGCCATTTTCTTGATCGTTGGTCATGTTAAACATGTTAAAGTCGTGAGAGTAGGAAGTAATGGTATGATTTAAGTTGGAGAGCGTTCTAAACCTGTCTTATGACTTTAACAAAGCTCAAAACATTTTTCCACCATTTTAGTTTTCCCGGAAGGAAATTTAGGGACATTTGTAAAATTCACATTTGGCATGACAACTCGGGAGATGATCCGAGCTGGTTCTTAGAACAAGTTATTATCAAGGATGTCAACCGAGGAGATACAAGGTACATCTAACTTATTTACCGGTACAGAGAGCGATCTGATGTTTCCTTTGTAAGACTATTGAAGATAGGGGCTGGGTTCCTCTCAGGCACGTTTTTTATTACTAGAAGTGCTTTACAGGTTTGGCTGGTCATTAGCTTTTGCGATCTCTCTTAATAAGTGACTTGCTCTTAGGCGAGTCGGGAGGTAATACCGCACTTGGCTCCCGACCAGTATCTGGGAGGTTCACATTCGCATCCCGTCCAAGCCTGAATTTTCAGGCTTCTTTCTGAAATTTTTTTTACTTGCAGCTATAATATATTTGCGAGTATAATAACCATACTTCCATACATCCACAGGCCAACATATAACTTATTTCAATTACTTGTGATCGGTTTACTCTCCAAAACAAAATAAAACAGTCGTCAAATGCGCACGATTTCATGTTACACGGCTACATCATGGCTGAATATGTGTTGATGGTCATTGTAGCCTCCCCATACTCGTGAAATATTAATAAAAAATTCGCTAATAAACATACGTATTGCACTTGTTCCTTGGCCAAAAGGGTTTTCAACTGTAACAGATGGCTCGCTGTTGACGAGGCTGATGGAAAGGTATGTGTGTTACTTTGTCATAATTTCATATGCATCAACACTTGCGAGCCAAAAAGTATTATAATTTGGTACCATTCACCATTTATCGTCTGTGGGGAGGAGCGGGGGGAAACACATCGTTCTCAGGGGAAGCAGAGGGGGGATCAGTGGTAGCCTTCATAGAGTTTAAACGGGGGGAATATAGAAAATTGGCTGCCAATTAACTCTTTAACCCCCAAGATCTGATTGTTAATTCTCCCCTCTAGGTGCTACACATTTCGTTGTAAATCAGTTGTGAGAATTTAGTGTTAGATCAAGATAACAACTTCTACCTGATAAGTTGGAGTTTTCTCAATACCTGTTTACAGGGTAATATATGGATATTATAGGGAGAAGTTCCATGTTGATCACTTCTGGGAGTTAAAGGGTTAACTGCCAATGAAGGGAGAATCATAAGAATACTACAGAGCCTTACAGAGGGGGGGAGGGGGGGGGGCTAGGTGAATTAATCGTGACACAACTGAAATCCTCTGACCCCGGGCGATAACGAATTTTCGGTCTTTTAGTTCAGTGCAGCGACTTTCTGGTAAAGAAAAATATATTTAGTTTGTTACTGCACCGTGTTAATAGTGATAATTTCTGCTTCTAAATATGAACAAAACATGAATTTGCTAGCAAATAGATTTGTTGTACTGACTTCAATAATTTTTTTTCTAAGGTTGAGTGTGAGTTTAAGGAAACGACGAACCACTTAAACAGTTTTAAAAAGGTAAGTTTCTTTTAAATGAGCTTATTAGTACAGCAACAAAAGAAAAAGGAATGGAGAATCAAAATTGATATAAATTAAAGCCGCAATCGCTTGCAATTTTCTCTCAATTTGTACACCTGGGATATGTTTAATTTGACCCCGCTGGAAGACCTTGTTTCTCGACAGGTAGAGAAATAAGGCGGATTTCGCATTTTATCACCTTCATTAAGACCCCTTTTCGCAAATAGTTCAACGCATAATTTTATTATTTTTCTCTTCCCAGTGCTTCTTTGAACTCAGCGCGAAGAGCATCTCGGACTATCATCTCTGGTTTTCTTTGTTTGGGCGGCCATCTTATAGCAGGTTTTCACGCGCGCAGGTAAAATGAGACAAAAAAAAACTAATGTTTATGTCCCAGATCTTAAAGTTAGAACCTTTTTAGTACACTGTAACAAGCAGAACCACTTGAAATTACCTTCTCAGTACCAGGGAAAAGATCACTCGCTGTGATTGCAGACAGACTTCTAGGTCAGAATCCCTCAGTGATGTGAAGTAAACAGCACCATGTGACCGCCCTGCTCGTTACGTTACTTCAATGGGGTGGCATCCCGGACAGCCAGTGAGAACTCAAAGTAACAACAAGGAAATTCTCTGAGGCGCGAAAAAACAGGAATAATCAAGTCGTGATTGGCTTTAGTTTTCCGTCTGAATGATTGAGTTTTTGGTGAGAATTTTTTAGATCAATGACAGAAATGAGGAAAGCAAAGCCGGTGCAATCCCGGTTTACCTTCGATTGAAAAATTTTCAATTCAGAAATCCAGGATTGCTTTGGTTTTGCCTTACTTTGCTCTACTTTGATTGGTCTTAAAAAACACGCAGAGTTGCCCAACCAATCAGATTCACAACTAAAACCTTTCGCGACTTGGTCAGCGGCCTTTTCCTGCGCTTCTTTTAGTTAGTTTGTTTTTAATTTGAGTCCTCATTGGCTTTTTGTGATGTTTGCATTTATGTGATTGACAATGGTTATGAATCTGGTTTAGGTTTTACGACACTCAGTCAAAAGGCGCTTTGCCGAATGGAAAAATACTCTAATAGTTTTTTCCTTTTCTTTATAGCGGCTTACTTCTTGTATGTCTTTGCTCCTGAGTTTTCTTTGTGCGAACATTGCGTGGTACAGGCCTGAAAAACAGGTATGAACTTGCTCACCTTGTTGTATCCAACATCGTGCAGAATGCCTGGACACTATTAGTTATTCATGAGCACTGAAGCGGGAAGATTTGAATGCGATCGCGCCTTGAAAGACTAGAATAAGAGAAGAAAGGGCCGAAACTAGCGCAGCAGCGTTGATATAACACGCTTTCCCGCGAGGAACCCAAGAACGGGTTCCTGAAGAGGAAAGGCGTATTTTTAATTTAAGCTTAAGAAGAGCAAGTTTGAGTAAGTATTCCTTAGTCTTTGATGTGATATTGAGTGCTTTTTGTGCAGAAGATGTAGCAACGTTGTGTTAGGCACTTGGACCCCAAGAGTAAGAGTTGTAGCCCGTGGTTCTTATATGCTTGAGAAAAGCAAAAAAAAATTAATTAATTAAATAAAATAACATAAAATAAGGTGAACTGTGGAAAGTAAAAAAAAGTCTGGAAAAGTTGGAAGAAGTCAGTTGTTCTTTCCCATGCCACAAGGTAGCCGAATTACACGCAAATTACCACAGCCAAAACGTTTTTTGGGCGCCATCGGTGAATTTTCAGTTGTGGAGCAAACATATGATAACCGCTCATCAGTTCAAGCCAAATAATAACAATAAAACAAATTAATGCGCAGAAGAAGTCCGGATTTTTATACGCGAAGAAGTGCACAAACCCGAGCCTTGTTCGTCTTGAGTTTATTGGAAGTTAGGATCTTCTTACAAACTAAACGAGTTTGATTTCATTAGGTTATGGAAGTATTAGGACTTTTAGACATAACCGGAGAGAGCCTTTGGATTGGTGTCCTGTGCAGCTTAGTAGCATTACCGCTCAACCTCCTGTGGATCTTCCTTTTTAGATACAGTCGAGTGAGTCATATATACTATTTAACTAGCTACAAGTTTATATGATTTAAAAACCAGCGATATTTTTTTTTCGGTTTGCAACACTTATTGAAATTAGCTTAAAATTGAAATCAAAAGCTTCCTGTAATGTTATGATACCGAAGAGGTGTTTATGAGCTAATAGGGTGACGCAATTTCTGAGCTGTGAAAATCCCACGCGCAGTTGCAAGTAACTCCCTAAAAAATCAATGTATTATCCACCAAGCAGGCGATGAAAAAAGTTCACAGGTTGATGATTAAACCAGACCCCTCTCACTAACTCGCAGTGAAATATAGAGACTTGATAAGAGATAATTTTGAAGAGATCTTCGGGATAAAACCCACACTGACTAAGAGAATCCTTTACGACACAATGCACCATCAGCGAGGTAGCTTCTTATAAGACTTTGGGTAGTATCAGAGTTTAGGCTTTCATGATCATCATGTTGCGTGAAAACCTCGCGAAAGATGTTCATGCTGACTTTCTTTCCGGGATTTGAAGCCAGGTTTCTTAGAGCTGTGTTATATTTTACAACGTGGTTGTCTTCTTCAAGGCATAAAGGGCAGAAAGGTAACCTTCCTTTTTTTTGCAGCGAAAATTTCGCCGCCATGTGAAGGTTTATCCGATGTCCGAGCGTCAAACGGACTCCACAGAGCTTATAACTTCAGGTAAGGCAAAAACTATCAGTCAATTACTTGAAATATCAATAAGGTTTATTTAGGCTTTATAGATGACAGGTTGAGCGTCACAACGAAAATTTTGACGAATCACGACGGACAATCAGAAGGGAATGTATAAGGAGCCAATCAGAATTGATTCTGAAAGCATAACAGTTCGAGTAATCAAGACACGATTGGTTGCTTCTGATTGGTTTAGAGGATGGGACGAGTTTTCTAGACCAATCATCGAGCAGGGTATGGCATAGCTAACGAAACCTCATTTGATAATGAACTAATCCAACTCAGTAAGAGTATAAATGGGCCTCATCAGTGCAGTGCTGATGCTAAGATGGAGGTAAGGCCATATAGCCACCCCAAGTGATCTCACACATGTGGGATCATCTAAGCCATGCCAGAGTGCTCAAACTAGAAAAACTAGTGAGCATATATATATATATATATATCTGTGATTGTATAAGCATTCTTTGTAAATATCATTCCAAATAGCAGCACGGGACGCTTTAATGATTTGTGAAGATAAATTCCTGATGGCTGTTTTAAATACTTGGGATATCAGTCAACAGTATATCCTGAGAATATGTGATATATTTCAGCACAATATCCAACTCATCAAATATCCTTTGACAACTTCTAAACTGCTTTAAGGAAAAAGAGTAATCCTCGAAGCCATTGATCTTTTCGCTCTCGTAATCGTAGCCTCAGTTTGGTGTTTCATCAGGGCCATATCTCTTTGTTGGCACTTATCTTCGTTCTCATTACCTGTGCATGACATTGTATTAAGTAATGTGAAGAGAATTTTTATCTTGGTCACTCCTTGGAGTTAAAGGATTAACTTATCGTCACCAATAATGTACATGAAAAAATTGCGGGCACAAATTACGCGCACAATTTGCCCTTCGCGATTGTGCAATTTTGTTGTCTTTGAAAAATTTAGTCGTGCTTATTAACACCAAATTGCACTCAAAATCATGTTATTACCCAAACAAAAAGCATCATTTGTGAGGAAATGGTTCCAGATCCGATTTATCTTAACAGTTCTTGACCATTCGCTGGAAACTGTTGGCATGTTGACCAATATAAGTGAGAGAAAAAGGTGGTTTCGGACCGTTTTTGAATGGGTAAGTTTGCAATGTCCTTTCTCTTTTAACCAAGAGCTCAACTACTGCTTAGAGTATTTGTGTTCCTTCTGCTTCACTTGTTCGACGCAGACATCTTATTAAACAGCACGGTTCACAAGGATTGTTAACAGAGACCATAAGACTGTAAGACGTATAAAAGTTCAAGATTTTCCAGTAGGGAAACAGCTGGTACAAAAAAATTATTGTTGTTTTTGAGGGCAAAACACAATGGCCGTCTACTTCATGGGGCGAATTTCCGCTAACGTAGTCTGGTAACAATACCAAGATATCGGCATGTTAGCAGTTTTATGTTTTTTCAGTCAGGGCAGGACCCAGTCACATCTGATAACAATAACTATACGAACTTTGTCGCTAGTGAAGAGTGCAGTGGAGGTTAACGCCGTTCTATATTTTCTTAGCTTTTCCCTGAAAACCTGAATTTGAATCGTTGACTCATTGTCGAACTCCAGCTAGAAGCTAAAGATCTTAAATGAACACGGAACAGACCCAAGGCCTTTCAGGAGCAGCTTTCCCCTCCCCTCTCCTCCCCTTGCTTTTCATTGGGCGGTCTTGCGTTTCACAGTATTGTGTAGGGCACCCTCATATTTATGTTGCTTTGTGATTTCTTTTAAAGGATGACGTCGACTCCGATTCATCGTCCTGCATGTGCGGCTCTCAACTGAGCCTCGACCGAGATTCAGGTAGAGAAACATGGAAATTACTATTTTTTTTTTGTCATTGGTGATATGTTCAGTGAATTATAGCACCAAAGTAATCGTTTGCTTGTAAAGACAAACATCAGAGTGGTAGATAAAAGCTAAGATGGAACAGCGGGGTTGAAGGATGTGTGAGATTAACACTAATTGCAAAATAATGACAAATTGGGAAGGTCAGGCTCAATTTTACAATCTGCCGTTGACTCCCGTTACTTACAGGAACTTCCTGTAAGTGAGTTTGCATGGCAAGAGGCTTCATTTTTCTTGCATAGAAACAATGCAACCAGCGTATATTGCAAATTGATATGTTGCTCATTCAGAACGATGGCAAAATTTGAGCTCGACAACCTAATAAAGAGAGAGATGGTTCATTTGTCACCAGAAAGGGGCGACGAAAACAATCTGAGTCGCCCGCCAGGATCTGCAACTTAGACCCATCGATTTCGGGGCCCAATATTTAGCAACTGGGACACTAAGGGCTCGACGGCGATTCGAGCCGAATGTTAGGTTCACGAGTGACAATAGTCTTGCTTTCTGCTTTGATGAAAAAAGCCAAATTGATTGAGCGAGATGGTAGCTTCCAGTTCATTCTTGATCTATCTACATTCACTTCTGCTTCGCGACTCTCCAATAAATCGTCACTCTCCCTTTTTGTTTTCTTCGTTTTTAGACAGCATCAGTCGGGGTTATAATTCGGGCCACGGTGGACTGAGCTCTTCTAAAAGACCTTTTCCTCCCCACGCCGACTTATTGGAGACATGCGACTTCCTCAGAGAGATCGGACCAAGCCATAGGAAGTCGCTGGACTTCGAGAAACGTAGCACGTACAGCGTGTCGTTGCTGTCTGAAGATCGAGGAGTTTATCATTCCAGATTCTCTCTACCGCATGGCTGTATTTACCTGGCGTGGTTTGGGTGTCTGTCCACTGCTTTTACTGCTGCGCTGTTCACTATTTGGTATGGAGTTAGGTAAGAGTGTATTTTTGGAGAGACATTTTTAATCAACTGTCGACAGAATGCAGGGACTGCCCTACGTAAGAGTGTAAACGCTTATGACCCCCGAAGATATTGGCGTTAAGATCCCAAAAGAGGCATGGTTCGAAAAATGAAAGAAACCAGTTTACGTGAGGTTTAATTCAGGAGACAACGGCCCGATTCAGATATCCGTTCGCTCATACAGGCAATTCATTAAAAAGAACACTCTATCGTTGAAAGTTTATTGAACTCTTTTTTCCTTTTTTATTATTTTTGTTTCCCTTAGTTTGGGATGGGATTTGTCTGTTCGTTGGTTGCAGTCGTTATTTTTCTCTTTACTGGAGTCTTTTCTCATCTCTCAGCCATTTATGGTAAGTTAATGATAAAGTGTTTGAAGTTGGGTGTCCAAAATTGCCAAGTAATTCCAAACTTTTCTTGGTACTACTGAAAGAAAGCTTGATGGATAGGTCTATGTAAAAATCGTTCATTCCTTCAACGGTTTTGTTAGAGGTGCAATCGGAAAAGTACTTCCTTGATTGTCTCGCAGTGAAAGGGAAGCAGCTTCCCTATACGACGATATATCTTTTACAAAGCTCGTTTCCGTCGCTCTTGAGATCTCCGTGAATTGTTCTCATCTCCCGGTCTGATGGAACTAAGATATACACTCAGGGCTTTAGATTTTCTCCCTCTCCAGTTCTACTGATATATAAAATTGCATTTTTTCATCTTCTTCGAGGTTGTGATCTTTATATTGTACATGGCATACAAGTCTAATGCAAGGAAGGAAGACGAGGACATTGATGAAGGATTTGAAGACTTGTCATCTTCCGCTTTGCACGATATACACTACGGTCACATTAATCAAGGATTCAATGGAGCTGCGAGCGCAGATGGCGATGATCTCCATCCGGTAAGTTCAAGGAAAACGTATCAAACATTGCGTTTGTTCGGGGTTTGAGAGTGGCACTTAGGACCGCACCATTTTATCCGTGTTTAGAATCATTGCTAGACCCCAGACCTCTCGCCGACTAGCGTTGCCGAAGGCCTCATATAAGGGACCTTAAGCAAACCACGACGGCGACGGCAACGAGGACATGGAAAAACGAAAGATCTAATTGGCAGAACAATAGCTCAACACGTGCGTTTTAAAACTTTGTACATTTCTTAGCCGTCCTATGCAAAACAACAACGTGAAATCACCACAATTTGCGTCGTCAGCGAACTGAAACCGCGACGGCAAATTTTTGTAATTTCCATTTGGAGCTCAACGCTTCTTTTATACGTTATGCTGAGGTTGAGGTGTGGCGACGTATGAGACGGTAAACACGTGCAGCCATTTTTGAAATTCTAATTAAAGGCAGAAATTCATTTTTTAGTCGAAGTCTTCTTTGGCGTTGCCGTCCTGACTGCTTAAGGTCCCTATTAGGGACCTTTGGCAGTTTGGACGGCAACGCCAAGGAAGACGTCGTTATAAAAATGAATATATATTTATAGTTGGAATCCCGCGAATGACTGGATGTGTTTACCATCTCTTATGGCGCCGCAAGTTAACCTCAGCATAACGTATGAGAGTGGCGTTGAGTTCCAAATGGAAACTTAAACAATTTGCTGCCGGAGTTTCCTCTCTCGGATCACGCGAAGTTTGATGATTTCACGTTGTTATTTTGCAGAGGACTGCTAAGAAATATACACAGTTTTAAAACGCACGTGCTGAGCTATTGTTCTGCTCATTAGATCTTTTATTTTACCACGTCTCCGTTGCCGTCGACGTCGTGGTTCGCTAAAAGTCCTTATTTTCCCGTGGCTAATAAACGCTCGGGCCTTTTCGCAGGCTCTGTACTAACATTCCTTCCATGCGAGTATAAAATTATCGGTGGGCCCCATGCTACGCAAACCGCGATAAGCTAAGGCTGATATGCAGACTTTACCGCTTGAATCTATCGCTAAGAAGTTTTTATTGTAAATAGAACAAGAGAGATGGTAAGTTTTGCGCTCTGTAAAGAAATAGCGAAAGATGTTTTCGTTTAGTCACGAGCTTGGGACAAAGAAAAAATTCTGAGTCCCCACAAGGAATCGAACCTCAGACCTCCGATGCTCTACCGCTGAGCCACAGAGACTCTACAGTGAGCGAGGTCATATAACACGCGTCCTGCATACTGCTAGGATCAGCAATGTCGATAGCGTCATGTTTGTAAATAGAATAAGAGAGATAGTAAGTTTTGAGCTTGGTAAAAAAATAGCGAACGATGTTTTTCGTCTTGTCACGGGCGTGGGACAAAGATGAGGCTACAAGCATGACGCTATCGACATTGCAACATCTTTCGCGAGCTCAAAACTTACGATCTCTCCTATTCTATTTACAAACATGACACTATCGACACTGCTGATCCAAGCAGTATACAGGACACGTGTCATATGAACTTCGTAATTGAGCTGGCTCACCGTGGAGTATCTGTGGCTCAGTGGTAGAGCATCGGAGCGGGGAATCTGAAAATTCCTCATGGGGACTCAGAATTTTTTCTTTGTCCCACGCTCGTGACAAGACGAAAAACATCTTTCGCCAAGTTTTTTTTTGAACGTAAAAAACTGGCAAAACTAAGGGTAAGAGATCGAAACGTGACCTTTTCTAAACCGCGCTTGTGGTTTTATATTTTCTAAGTAAAATCAACAAATGATACAGACCGATATTGACTTTTGACACAGCTAAAAGCTCTCATACCTTACTTGTAGGCGCTGGCTCTTCGCCGTAGACAACGGTATCTCAAGTTTCTGAAGCCGCCATCCAAGTCAAAACTGTCTGAAGCACGAAGTAAATGCGCACGGAGCAAAGCTCTCAAGGACTATACTGTGTAAGTCTTAATCTAGGTCTCGATGATTCTCGCCAAGCACCATCGTAAATTACAGAAATTTTTAGGTGACAAATTTGCTATGGTAACATGTTATGTTATGAATGCAATCAATTTTGAATGAATAAAATTGAAGTTGTTGTACTCCGCATTCTAAGATGTGTACAATTTTTGTGAAGTGGATAGTGGATTGATAAAAACTTTTATTTCATTTAATTTCAGAGAAGTGATTGTGTCCATTCTGTTCTTTCTTATCACGTGCTTCCTGGTTTCGAGCATCACATGCCCGGATGTGTATCATCTGAATCAGTCGATCAGAAAGGCATTTTTCAGGTATGCTAGAAATCTCCTATGGATTTTTATGAATTTTTATAGTCCAGTGCGATCGTCTGTGTGTAAGTAGTCTTGAGAAGGGTTGATGTTGATCACTTTGACTAAACCAAAGTCATTATAAAAGTCAAGAGAAGTTGTTTTTCAGCGCAGACAGTGCCATGTGATAACTTATGGTCTGTCTAGCTGCTATGTTATTGGCTGTCAGTCTCAAGTAGCGATCGTCAGTGTTGAACCTTGTGTCTTACCGCCTGTTTCAATCGAAACAATCTCGGTTGTGTGGCGTAAGGAGAAAAACTCTCTCGACATATTATCTTCATCAGTATTATTGAAAATGTCGTTGTTGCTGTAACTGTTGGTTTCGGTTGTTATTACGGACATTATTTTATCATTGTCATCATTGCTATCATCATCATTATTCTTCTTTTATTGTTGTTGTCGTTGTAGTTAATCTTTCTGTTTAGTCGATCTCACCAACTAGTTATTGGCGTTCCTTTCCTTTCCAGCTCGGTTCCTTGGTGATATGATTGTTGAACTTAAGGTTGAACGTTGTTCGAAATGTAATAAAGATCATGCTTGTTTGAGAAGTATGTTTTGGTTGTACTAGCTAATCCTACTTTTGTTTACACACAATAGGCCGGGAGAAGGTGATCCTGACAGTGTCAAGGCGGCTTGGGAGGGCATGTCCGCAGCATTTTATGAGAACAATGCTACGTCTCATCACACACCGTTTACGGTATGTGGCAAAGTTCATGATCGATACATGTTACATTGAGACGGCAGGGGTCCATCCCTCCAATGGGAAGTTGGCTATGCGCTCTTCCTTCTGCCCTAAGCGTCTTTTTTCCTTGTTCTACGTTCTCTTCTTCTGCAAAAACTGGCTCTCCGAATTCCTACTGGCAAACAACTACTAATTTATTTTGCATGTTCCTTCAATTTAATTACGCAGATCTTATTACGTGACAGCCAGAGCCTTCTGTTTGGTCGAACAATGATCACGCAATTCAAGACCACTATGTCCAAGGTAAGTTCTTGAGCAACTTTCCAACAAAACGATGTATTATTCAGTCATAAATAGTTGGGATGTTTCTTGATAAATAGACCATTTCCGAGGTCCAGACACTCTTACTTTCGAAATTAGGCCAGATGCAAAATGTTTCTAGCATGAATGAGTTTTCTTCCCTGAATACTAATGGCGTTCATTTTCACCTTTGTGGTAATAAATGGTAGGTTACTAGTAATCCAGTTAAACAACATGTTTTACATTTCGAAGTCCAGCCGTATTTAGCTGTGACTGTCTCCCTTAGAGAAATTGTCTTAATTTTTTTTTCTTCCAACACTTTCTAAGGCTTGTGACGGCAATGCAAACACAACAGTGTGTCATGTAACGTGTCACGAAAAGGAAGGCGCTTGGTTCAGCTTGGAACTCAACCAAACAAGGTAAGTCACATGATTCGATTGGCCCTTCCACTGATTTAGGCCCTGAACGTTGGTTTCGCCTGATATACCCAATATTCATTGTCTAGCCAGTCGCGAAGCATTTAATAGTTGAATATTAGGGGAACAAATCTCTAGGAACAAATTTTGAACTGAAGGGGCGCTATGAAAAGCACAGCTGTGACTGGTGACCCTTTAACTCCCAGATCAAATTTGTACTTCTCCTTACTGTCAACCATACAATTCTTATAGTTTTAGTTCAGAGAATTTAGTATTGGACCAACCTATTATCCTGAAATTGATATTTTTCTTTATTGTCATCACTTATCTGGTTGATATTGTATTGATATTGTGAGGAGAAATTCTGTCCTGGTCACTCATAGGAGTTAAAGGGTTAAAGATGGGCCCATCCCACTAGGGGGTCCGCAGGCATCCTCCGGCAAATTTGAAATCAATCTAGACACGCTCTTATGCCATTCCAAAGAGGTGGGGGCGGGCTCCCAGACCTTCCCCCCCCCCCCCCCACTGATTTTGCTTGAAGGTATGTCGCATGATAAATTCCTTAAAGCCCTTTGAAGAGTATTGCAACTGCTAATTTTTCCTTTTTTTTTTTTTTCTGCAGCGAAGAGTCTGCAAAGCAGCTGAGAGGAATCACGGATTCGCAGTGGATAAACATCTGTACGCGCGAAGTGAAGGTGGAGTTTGCAGTGTACACGCCATTTCTGCGTGCTATCAGGTGAGGTGACTTCAACTACTGGTTATGGTTATTGAGAATAAGTGGAGAGTTCCTGTATGAACTGTGGTACTGCGTCGCTGGGTTTTATTACAAGACAACTTTGTTTTATCAACTGAGTTGATAATGTGAATTGGCTACCGAGAAAAGATGGTTTAGCTAACATTTCAAGCCGCGTTAGCGCTTCGTCAAGACAATCCATTTTCGCCATTCAATCTTATTTTTTTCTTTTTTTGTTATTATTCATTGCTTTTTTACAACATTTTGTAATTAAAGCGAAGATCATTCAATCTGAAAAACTTGAGGGTTAACGCTCGAAACGTCAGCTTTAGAATCTCTCAACTTTGGCCAACTCACAATTCAACTCAGTTGCTAAAAGAAAATTATCTGATTTGCTGGTTGACTGCTTTCCGATTGACTCCTTGACAGATTGACTGAATTTAAAGACTCACACACGCGGACGGTTTGGGTTTTGCTTTGAACGAATGGCTAATGCTCATAACGTCGGCTTTTTTAATTCGTTACTTCTGCGGTTGATTTTCCATGAAAAACTTGCATTTGATAATTTGCTAAGTGTTGAACTGATTGAGTTTTTTTCTAAATCATTGTGTTTTTGACATACTAATATTTTAGCGCTGCCACTCTGTCGGTGAAAGCATCGTATACTGGGAAGCCATTATGTCGACTGGAGTTAAACACCTTCCCAGTGTTTTTCAAATCAACAGGACAAGGCTTCTTTGTGAGGATTTGCAAGGTGTGTAAACAGTCAGTACCTCTTACGTCCGTTTGGTTGCAGTCATGCGTTCGTTGAGGTGGATAGTTGATTGTTTTTGTCATTATTGTTGTTATCTGTTGCTGTTTGGAGAAAATCCCGTTTTCAAAATATGTTTCCTATTACTAAGAAAAAAAAATGTGCCAAGCATTTGTCGTGAGCATGAGACAAACAGTGAAAGCTTCGCTCACGTTTTTGAACCCTTGAATCAGCTGCCGTATTGAGTTAAGCTTAATACGATTCAAGCATTTTGCATAATGCACATTGAAATTGTCCAGCGTTACTGTGAGAAAAATGGTAGCATAGGAACTAAAGTCAATTGCGACACGATGTACAAAATCTACGTGTGGAAGAAAGTTGCTCAAATACACGAAACAAGTTGCCAACGAAGTATTGGCGTGAATAGGACTTAAAACTTTCTAGCTACTGTATTAGACGGTTAGCTTGCTGCTCCTCTGTCTAACGAGTATGACGAATGAAGACATGATAACTTATTATTATTATTATTATTATTATTATTATTATTATTATTATTATTATTATTATTATTATTATTATTATTATGTGATGAATGTAGCGCTCCTCCCCAACTCATTATCATCAGTCATTCAAAAATTACAGGGCTGTTCTACTAAGAGATCTGTTCTTGATCTGTTTCAGCTTCTGTTTGTTTTTCTATTTCTTTATCTCCTCCAACATGAGTTTTTCTTGGCCAAGAAGATGTCAGCTAAGTACTTTAGGAGCTTCTGGCGGCTGACGCAGGTAAAAAAAATGCAAGGAATTTGGCAAAAGTATAAACCAACGTCTGAGTTTGGAAATATAATTAGAATGCTTTTCCCCTCTGAGCTGGTGGGATGTCTAAAGAGGGTATGTTTGTTAGGGTTTTGGGTAGAGGTGTGGGGCTTAAAACGTTCCTTGAGGAAGTTTCTACACTTATTGCGTCCTTTAATAGGATGATACGAAAAGCGCTTTCGAAGAAAAGATACTCATCCTGTTTTACATAAGAATTGTCAAGGGGCGATCTTTCGACCCAAAATTCGACCCATGAGAAAACTCGCACCTCAGCACCACATCCATTTTTTTTTCAAGACCAATTACTCCGTGACAAGCTGATTGGTCTGTTCCTTAAATCACAGATAGTGGTGGCTCCTCCCATGAACTTCGCTGTTTGATATATCGTCAGATTATTCTTCTGACCATTGCAACAAAAAGTGTTTTAAGAGAAGTTTAAACTTGTCAACTGTTTTTTGTTCCTCCCTCCCGTTTTCTTCTCTAGCTTTTGGCAGTAGCTAGCGCAAGCTTGTCCATGGTGTTGTACATCCGCTGGTCGGTGAATTTGTACGCCCTGTTACGAGAAGTCCAAACAGCTAGTCAAACAGACGTGTTCCATTACGCCAAGATGGTTTCGTCGAGTCAGGTAAAGAAGAAGCGGTCTTAAATAACTAATGTGCAGCAAATGAAATTCAAGTTAGCGAGGCCCGCTGTGGTTATTGAGCTCCACGATCGTGGGCAGTGATCACAAGCCGCTTGCGCGATTTAAGAAGCTAAACGGGCGAGTTGTTATCTTCCTTCCCATTTGCTAAGCGTGATTGGAGTCAAACACTAGATGTAAGGGAATGATTTGTTCGGCCGGCATGTGAGATGTTGGTCTGTGGACTGTAGACAGAATGAAAGACGTGTTCGGTATTGGCTGTAATTGACGTAATCCTGCCCTGAACGACAAATGATATATGACCACCGAGTTTATCCGTAGTTTTCAATTACAACGTACAGTTCTGTTATAACTGAACAGTACCATTTCTTCGATTTCATTCCACTTTTTTAGGAAGCTCTGCAAGCATTATATTCTCTTCTGTTATTCTTCATCATCGTTCGCTCTTTGCATATGCTGAGACCTTTTCGAACCATGGTCCGTCTCAGTAAATACTTCGCTTCCGTCGTGCGTCCTCTGGCAGCCTGTTCGGTAGGTATCAAAAATTAATCGTAAAAGGTCATGTAGATTGCTTATCAATCAACATCGAGCGTTTTGACTGTGTGACAGTGATGGACCAATTAGAGACGAGTATGATAAAAAACGAGCTGTAATTTTTCCTTTTGAAGATATAATGCGTGAAACACAACGGCTTGAACTAATTTGTTTAGATCACCCCTGATGAAGGCACTAGACAGGAGTGTCGAAACGTTGGGTAGCATCAAACTAAGTCTGATTATCCACCTGGTTGCCGTGTGAACTTTAATATATTTTAATTTGTTTTATTTCTTCGCCTCTCTATTTATCAGGAAAACTTCGGGTGTACAGTAAAACGTTATTTCAGTTTTCTTAGTCTTATCGGTGTTAACTTGATTAATCTTGCTTCCAAACGCCTTAAAGTTTACTTAAAAACTATTTTTGCGAATAACGTCCGTGCATTTTGGACAATCTCGTTCATCTTTTAGCAAAGGCCAGATATGCAGAGTGCTGCATCATGGATTACCTCATTTGCCCTTAGCTGTAAAAAATCTCATCAACTTGGCTGTGATCTATTTGCAGGTTGGGATCATAATCTTAATTATGGCGTTTGTTCATACGGGACATCTTTTGTTTGGTGGCCTTCACACTATGTTCAAGTCGTTTGGAGACACGTTCTTGCTGGTCAGCAATTTCTTTCGTTTGGAAGGCGTGAATCATTACCAAGGCCCGGCGGTTGAAGAGCGACCTGTGCTGATTTTGTTTTACTTTGCTGTCTTCGTGGTCGGATTCTATACTATTATGAGGGGAGCGGTGAGTTAAGTGTTATTTGGTGAAAACTGAATTTTTATGGCTATATGAAGATGTAGTTTCTAAGTCTCAAATATCACTGATAGTTCCTGGTTTTAAATAATGAAACTCTTTCCCTTGCAGCTGTTGTTTGATTTCGTCAGGCGGAATGCTTTTTGCTTGGCAAGACAAAACAAATCCTACCAGGGAATTTTGAAAAATTAGCGTGTTTATATGATGGCGATAAATAGCTTCTCCCTTTAAGTAGCTGGAGGTCTGAGAAGGGACAGTTTGTAACCAATTCAGTTACCTATGATGGAAACCTTAAACCATGTCGACGAGGCTTTATTTAATAGACAGGTCTATAAACTAGACTATAAATTGACAGATAAGTAGTCAGTTAACGTGAGGCTATTTCGTCAGAGCTCTTTTTAATAGTTTGTCAAAACCTCACACCAAAATAATTTCAACTGTCCATTAAAATAGAGGAAAGTGTCAGAAGAAAAAATTAGAACTCAACTTTATTGCTGTTAGTCGACCCGTAGTGCGGATAAGAACGAACGACCAAGGCGCGATTGTTCTTAGTCTTGCATCTGATTGGTTGTTCAACAACCAATCAGTTATCACAATAAGTAAAACCATTCCTTTACACAACAAGTTTCAAAACTCAGATGAACGTTACTCTACTTGACTGTTTTGTTGTGTTTTTATTTTGTTTATTTGTTTTTTATTTGTTTGTTTGTTTGTTTTTTTGTTTTTATCTCGGTAGAGTGCCACTGTGTTCCTGTACAGGGTACCGCACTACAAGAAAAAACGGCACAAGAAACTTGCAGTTGAGGAATTCTTTCGGAGCAAGTATGTATTTAGAGCTTCTTTTTGAGTTTATGTTTACAATTGTCCCGTTTATTGAAACGGGTTAAATATTTACCACCGATGCGCAAACATCAGGTTTCCACTTGTGTGAATATTACAAAAACTAAAAATAAAAAGATTTGAATGGATTTCAAAATAAGAGTTAGACTCTGTTAACATGCATTTCCCTGCTAAAATGTCAGTACATTATCCAACGTACTAATAGCAAAACAGAAAATACAAAAATTAAAACAAATTTAAAGGCTAGTTGGTTTGATCTTTTAGAACTATGATTTTATTACCTGATTTGCAAAGAAGTTTACAACAGTTAGAAGGGAGGGGTGTTGATTAGGCCCCGGCTTTTCGAAGTCCGCTGGATAAATCTCCATCCGGTGGATGTCGCAGTGCGTTTTGCTAACACTCGTCCGCTGGACAGAGAATTATCCAGTGGAAAGGGTTATCTGCTCTTTGAATAATTAGGCCCAGATCGTCGGAGTTGAGGGGTAGTATTCATAGAACACATTTCAATTTACTCTATCATTTTACGGCAGTATTGTATTTTCAATATTTAGAGGTGATGGTAGAGCTACACTTTTGCGTTGTAAGACTGAAACCACTCAATTTCCCTTTGTATTTTAAGAATGCAGCTACTTAGGGAAAAACTAAAGAGAAGAGAAAGTGATGCATCATTTTATCCAGATGAAGAGGAGGAAGACGAGAAAGATGAAGGAGAAGAAGAGTTAGAGGAATACGAGAAAGATGCTCCCTTCCCTATGGTGAGGTTTTAGTTGTCTTTTCAAGGCTCTCTTGGTCTAAAACAAGGCTAAAGAGGAAAAACCGCTTATTACACCATTAGTTGCCGATTATGGAAAAATTTATTGAAACCCCTGTAATCAACTAATACCAAGTTTTGAAAATGTCTTCACGGCTATTCTGTTTGTTGGTGTAGCATGATCAACATGTGCGTCACAGAATCATTTAATATTTCTGACAGTATGATAATATTATACTGTGTTCTAATTACATTAGACTACCGCCTCACTTAAATTGAGGATGGAAGCTTAGGGCACCCGAGGGCTTCCTCTATGTCTCGACTGCCTTCAGATAGAATACTCTCCCCCCCTCCCCTCCCCCTTAAGCTGCCAAATCCCTGCAACCCAGCTAGGAGTCCTTTGAGGCTCTCGAAGGAAAACTAGTTGTGTGGAAGGACTGAAAAAGCACAAAGTTGGAGAGGGATGGGATAGCGCTCTAAACAAAGTTTACCAACCACTCAGGACTGAAAAACAACCGCAACAAAAACTGTTGTTGAATATTGAAATCCAACTGCAACGTTGTCGTTATGTGATCTTGCACGTGTGACAGTTATCGCCTGGTGGTTAAGTTTTTTGAATTGTTATTCAACTTGATATAGGCTCACTGTAACAGATTTACCTGAGATAGAATTATTACTTTACTCTTTCAGGAGCACGTGTTGGATGAAGTCCAAGTTCAATTTGAAGAGTTATCGCTTCGCATGGGCAACTTAATGGGTTCAGAAGTGTTCGACAATAGCGAACGTTTTAAAGATGACTTCCTGTCAGGCACAGATAGCGATGAAGATGTGGAGTATCTTTACCAAGCAGAGCCACGACCCGTTCCGTCTGCGATCAGCGGCAGTGGATATGAAAGTGACCATAGCAACATGTCCGCGGCCAGGTGGAATTTGTCGAGTTCCAGTTGTTATGATTTAGCGGATTGTCATGGCCCAAATGAACCAAGGTCTGGACTGGTAAGGGGAACTAGTGCCATTCCGGTAATGTTTACTTCGGGTGGATGTAAAGCTAGTCCCAGCCTACGGAAAATCACTGCTTATTCCGAAGAGGAAACATCTAGGTTTCAAGGCAACAGTAACCCTTCTTGTTCAAGCAGCTATGATATGTGCAGAAGCAATCCGTCTTTTACTTTACGTGACGATGGTCTTCGTGAAGGTGCTCTGCTTAATACAAGGCTGCGTGATGGTGTGTTACGTGGCGGTTTCTTATTTGACGGCGTGTGGCATGTTGGTGGCTTGCACGACTCTTCCTCGCGGGGCAACGATCCTCGTGATAGACCAGATGTTGAGAGTGCAGCACAGTCAGACGGGGCTTTCAGTCGAGATCAATCGTTCTACTCAACTCATGTCGTGCGCCCTGAAACTGAACCCATTATGCCCAAGAACGTGTATTCCATGGCACGCACCCATGGAAGACGTTGCCGTGAGGCGCTGTCTCTTCATCCGTGCGCCGACGTTGATTGCAGCACGACAGAGGTAGCTACTAGCAGCGCCTCTGAACTAGAAATGGGTAGGAAAGACAAGAAGTCTCGACGCCGCAAGAGTAAAGCCCTTTTCAGAAGCTCTGCAGTGTATCCTGGCGAGGAGGGGTTGTCGTTGGGCCCAAATCCACCCGTCCGAGGGCGGGAAGCTCATTCGACAGACTCCCCGCACCTAAGGACCAAATCACCTGTGCATGCCGCTTGGGGCTTAGCTCCGTCAGCTTCTGAACGGGGTTTCGTAAAGAGCCCAGCTTCTCACGCTTATGAAGACTCTAGGCTCCACGCAGCTGCACAGATCCTTGTGCCGTCATCACCAGAACGAGGTTTTGTTGCAGACCCGTGCCATGAGGCCCTAGAAGACTCAGATTCAATAATATCTGCTAGGGAACTGGACTCGACTGCTTCCCCAGACCCTTACGTTCCAGAGGGGCCACTGAAAGGAATTTTAGGTGATATAAGTATGAACAGACCACTTGGTACTGAAATATTTCAAGACGATTCCCCGTCGCTTTCCACAGCAGGCGAGAAATACAAAATTAGATAAGGATATATCAATTATATATAAAGTTTTATAAACACTTTAGATGGACTTCGTCATGTGCTTCACCTCGCACTCTGACTTTTAAGGTAGTAACGAGTCTCTTATTGTCTTTTTGTATGGCTAAAGGGGCATGCCCAGGAGATTCTAAAGGGGGGGGGGGGATGTGGGATAGTTGAAGGAATCCAAAATAATTTTTCGGTTTTTTTTTTTTTTTTTTTGACAAAAACAAAACAAAAAAACTCCAGAGTCTCAATAAGTTAATGATATTTCAAGACAGGTAATTTCTTATTGCTTCAAGTTGAGCATAAATATGTAATGCTGTCTTTGCAAGACGTCTACTTTTGGTGTCAGACGGGGAGAAAAAAGGAAACCCACACGAGTGAAACCCCCCCCCCCCACCCTTATCCCACCCCGACCCTCTCTACTAGCCACTAGGCTATTGTTCTCGAAAACGTGAATACCGCGCTTCTTTCTCTACGCATGAATCCCTTTAATCCGATATGAACAAAGGTGCTGAAGATATTTTATTTATTTTAGTCAGAACTCTGCAGAAAAGATACTTTAGGAGAACAAAATAATGTGCATGGTTAACTTTTAATTCGAAACTGGTTCCTCATATTCACTCTGTACAAAGAAGATTTTTTTTTTTCAACTGGAACTTTGGTGGTGGTGTATAAGCATCGTCACCATATTTTCCCTGTTTCTTAGAAGGCTTCACACCTTAAAATCAGTATGCATATTCTCCATACTGTTCTCTATACATTTTCTAAGGTGCTGATAAGGAGAATTTGTTTAACAATCAGGAGGTTCTCTAGTTACTAATCATTTCCTTAATTCTTCTGACCTTCATGTGTGATTCAGGGGTGTTATTGTAAGGAGAAATTATATGCTAGTCACTTTTAGGGGTCAGAGGGTTATACAGGCTAAGAAAATGTCAGGTTGGACTGTTTTTCGTTATATTCAGAGTTTTATCATTCATACAATATTAATATAAAGTAAATGCTGATACAAAAGTATATTTTTATACATTTCAATTTTATATTCTCCATAATAATAATATAAAACAAAGATATTCTATTTTTTTTACGCGATTGTCAAGTAACAGATCATGTGTAGGCGACGCCAAAATATGGTAAGGAAAAGTGGCATTCGAGATGCTGCAGTTCTTACTGTCAAAAGTATATTTTCATATATTAGGGTATTTTGAAATAGATGGAAGTTTATTACATATTTGTACCACATATAGAGTATAGCCAGTAAATAAATATTAAGTTTAAAGATTATGTTTGCACAAGCTCTATTGATCGAAGGGCTCGGTGAACTCAATTTTCAGCCTCATCTCGACTGAAGTGATTAATAGGATTGCAGCTAGGCCTGTCCGATTGTGCTGAAAGAATGCTGGAAAGTTGCTTACTGGATAAAAAGTTGCCCACAATCTAAAAACTTGCCATCGAAATTTCAAAACTTGCTACCTATATTCCTCAATATTTTTATGTAAACGCAAATTAAAAGATTTATTTTTCTTCCTTCACATTCATTTCTAACATCAGTCAAGAAAAACAACTTAAACAGAACTTCTCACCATCCACTCCGTTTATGACAAAGGAACAAAGACGGCCTTTTTGTGCATCTTATTTAGCGATTATCCGCTTCAATATTAGATAAAGATCGCAATGGGCCTGCAAAACGTTGTCAAGTGTCAGGTAATGCTCAAAAGGTGGATAAAGATTCAAGAAATTGGCATGAATGGAAGTTTTCTACGCAATCTTTGTCTTTACATGCTTGAAATGCGCTCTAAACCTACATTTTGCTCAAAAATTGCTCAGAAAGTGAACATTTCACGAGGTTGCTAGAACCACATGAAGTTGCTGCAAGCGCCAAACGTTGCCGAGCACAAACCAGGTAAGCCTAATTGCAACTAGAAACGTTGACAGAAGCGCGGGTCTCAAATTACGACATGTTTCGCCAGAGAACTACTCACTGACCTTGAAATGAATTTGCCATCTTGATTCTTTAGAAAGGAGAAATTAGATTCTAGTTACTCTTAGGGGTCAGAAAATGTCAAGCAGGAGGGGATAGATATGATTTGAATCTCTACAATTGGAAGATCAATTAAAGAACGAGTGATATTCTTAATAACGAGCGACTCCTAAAGGCAGTGCAATACCAACAATACTTATCCTCGATAGACGTACTTAAGCCCACTAGAGTCTATATCTTAGCTCACCACTGAGCCGAACTCACAGTTTCCTCCAAGGTTTCTAGAACTCAGCAATCTTCCACTGTAGCTCTCTCTCACGGTGTAGCTTTCTAAACAGTCGGTCAGTCCCGACAACAACAACAACAACTACTACATAAGTGAGTCCTTATATACATTCACAACGTGTTCTAGAACATTCCAGAAGCTTACAAAAGAACTATTTAATTAGTACTACGTAATAACTGCACGACTTGAAATGTTCTAAAAGGTCTAGGGTACGCATGTCAGCATGACTAAGCAGTCTGGGTAAATTTACAACAACAATTACTCATAACAAACGGCTTGAAAAATCAAGCAATAACTCCTTTGATTTAAAAATCACGAGATCTGAGCAGCAATATTCTCCCCTTGAGCGATTATCATTTTTCACTTGACACTTTGCACCCTAACATCAGTACCCATTTTCTTCAAGCCCTTCTTTGTACAATTCCTTAAGTACTGACAAGGGTTTTTTTTTTTAACAATCAAAGCTTCTCAGGTTGGCGATCGTATCCTTTAATATCACGATCTTAATGAACGATTCAACATTATTACCCTAATCAGAAATTACATGTTCGTCACTCGCAGAGGTTAAAGGTTATGAGAACTTACTCTTCTATCAAAATAACAGCCGCTAGTTTTGACACCTCACCATCATTATGAACTAGTGTTTTCTAAGCAGTGCGTGGATATTGTTAAAAGAGCTGACCTGTAAATAGCTTTTAAGAAAGTAAGGATTTATAGAGAATCCTCAGTGATCAGTTTAAAAAGGATCAATACAAAAGTTAAAACGATGTTCGCTATCACAAATGATCCGGTGGACTTTGGATTCGGATCAGGAAAGCCATTATCCGCAATAAGTTTTTTGAAGAAACCAACCGATTTCTTAGGGACTCGAGTCAAATTCGCGTCGTTTTCGAAGTCGATGAAATGCAGGCCGTATGGGGTGGTGTAGGCATTTTGCCATTCAAAGTTATCCATCAGTGTCCATGCCATGTATCCTTTCATATTCACTCCGTCATCAATGATCGCTTTTAACATCTCATTGGTGTATCTGCAATAAACATAGTTTTAAGCCATATTAATTTCATTTGTACGTGATTGCTTACAACACGTCACCTAACGGGCAATCGGCCCGTCAGGTGACATTTTACAAAAACGTCGTAGTCCCTTAAAACACGATGTTGTGGTGGTAAGAAGATGGATCAATGACTAATAACTTTTTTAGGTTATTGAAGCTTGGTATTTAGTAGCAGAGTACTCAGTTACGTTCAACATTTTAAATGGATGCCAGTACACTAAACCCTTCACCCTATCATGCACAAAATCTCATTTTCATTTCTCCTTACTATTTGCCATACAATTTGCACGATGTGAGATTGGAGAATTTGGTATTAGGTCAACTAATAGTCCTCTAATTGATATTTTTCTTTATTCTCATCACGTCTGCTTGATATTGTATTGAGATTGTAAGGAGAAATTCTGTCTTGGTCACTCATGGAAGTTAAAGGGTTGAGGCTGTCACCTCCCTTCCCCCTCTCTTCCCTCGGAGGACAGGCTCACGAAGTCCATGGCGTTCCTTTCGTAGATAAATTCTTCTTTGATACCTAGTGTTTGATACCTAGATATCTGTGTTTGTATTTGTTTGTGTTTAGTTTGTTTGTTTGTCTTTTCAGTAAAAGGTGAATTGATCCATAAAATGTACTACTTTGAAACAACAAGAAAAGTTGTCAGGTAGAAGGGAAACTCCGTGACATGTACTGTTTGTACCTCCTGTGATAATCCACTCTGAAAGTGTCGTTCAACCGATTTTGGCCGGTTTTGCTGGCTTCACCAGGAGGTGCTACTCCGTTCTCAGTAACTATAATGGTTGGATTATTATAGTTATCCTTGATGTACTTCAGCAGCCTGCGGAATCCAAAGGGAGCTACATGACCATTGTACCAGTCAGGCCACGCAGGATCGCCGCTCTTCGTGAACGATTCGTCGCCGTTAATTGACAGCTCGTCGCCACTGGGTTTGTCTGCCACTTTATCAGTGGAATAGTGGTTTAGTCCAAACAAATCGTAGCTTCCTTTTACGATGTTTTTCTCCTCCTCTGTGAAGCTGGGTAGACGACTAGGAATCCCAGCAGCCGCGCTGCGTTTTCCCACGATGTCTTTAACGACATCCGGGTAATCTCCGTTTACAAATATGGGATGAGCGAAGATGCCGAGATGAAATTGCATGTAACGGTCCGCGGCGTCCTTGTCTCGGACAGAGTCAGTCTTGGGAACTGCCCAACCAGAACTCAAGGAAAGCGTCATTTTTCCGCCCTGTTGTGCTTGATAATTCTTCTCATAGGTTCGATAAACTGTAGCGTGGCCAAGAATTTGATTATGAGCTGTACGATACCGAAGAATCGATAACTTGGTTTTATTCTTAATATTCCCATACATGTACAGAGGATGACGTAACATGACGATCGCGGGCTCATTTAGCGTGATCCAGTACTTGACTTGGTCGCCGAATGTCTCGAAGCAAAATCGTGCGTAGTCGTGAAAGTAGTCAATCATGCTTCGATTGGTCCAGCCGCCAATCGCTCGAAAGACTTCGGGCAGATCCCAGTGATACAAAGTCACAAGCGGCTCGATTTTGTTTCGGCTTAGTTCTGCAATGAGTCTTTTATAATACTCAACTCCGGCGTTGTTTACATAATCAGTTGTTCCGTTGGGAAGCACACGACTCCATGCAATAGAAAAGCGATACGCTTTGGCTCCGTAGTCTTTCAATATCTCGACATCTTCCTTGTACTTGTGGTAGCTGTCGCAAGCCACGTCTCCGGTCTTGTTGTGGAACAAGGCAGGCACAATGTGGGTGATGATGTCATATATGCTGGGTCCTTTTCCATCTTCAT